CCCCTCAGTGGCACAACTGGGTTTGTCCTTGGCACGAGGAATGCGATGAACTTTTGTTACCCAGGCTCAATGCCAGCTGCCAGACACTACTTGTTTTCCCAGTGTTGTGCCTGGATCCTTCATCCCAGACCACTTGCCGACTGTGTCTGCTTGGCAGCTATTTCACTGCCCTGTGCCCTCTGCTATTTCTTTCTTATATTTACACATTGCTTGCAATTTTAAATTGAACTTTGAAGCATAATGCTTGTTCTTTAATATTTATTCATACCATGTCCAACAGAGTGACCCAAGCAGGGAACAAATGAGGTGTTGCTGTAATTCAAGCAAATAAACATAGAATTACTAATGAAAAACAAAAATTGGCATTTGTAGAAATATGTAGCTACTTGTGTGCTACATAACCTCTATATGCTCACAGTCCATATCAGTACATGACTTCAGTGCTGCCTGCTCTGCTTCCATCTGAGTGACTGCACTTCATAACCACAGTGCAAGAAAAGTCCTCTGGTTGCTTTGGGTCTGATGGCAGTTGCCAAATCCAGGCTCTTTTGACAAATATTTTGTCAGCTGTGAGCTAATGAATGTGATGATTCCCCTGCTAACTTTGGTGGAACTGTTTGATTAAAGGCCACTGGCTGTAGAGCTCAGAGGGTGAAACTCACACAAGTGGCTGGCTTCCCAGTGGCTTTCCAGGGACAGCAGGCTCATGAGCCGGGATGGAGAAAATTCTTGGGAAAAATGTGCTTCCTTGCTCTTGAAACTGATTGCTGAAGCTGTAACTTCACCAGCAAGAACTCCTCTTGAACAATATTCAGGCCCCTATGATTTCTTCCTTGGACAATTCTGTCATTCTCTAACTGCAACTTTTCCTGGCAAGTAATTTCCAGGATAGATGTGCTGACAGAATTTCCCAGTCCCTAAGTGCTGGGGAGAGAGGTGAGCTCTTTTTCTGAATCAACTGACCTAATTGGAGGTGTTAAAGGTGAGGAACAGATCCCTTTTGGGTACACCAGCACTTCCCTAGGCCTTAGCAGCGTGCTGAGCAGAATAATTGGGATTTTACCTGATTTAGAAAATGTAGTGGGCAAGCGAAAAGGTGGTTGTTCTGCAATGCAGTTCATGAAGTTGGTCAGTTTAAAAACAAACAAACAAACAAATAGAAGAGTTGCTTAATGAAATGAATTGCATGTGACAACATGACTCCATTTCAGTTAGCTGCGTCCTCAGCAGGGCTTTGGCAGCTGGCTGGGAATTAAGAGTGTGAGCTGTTGGTCGCTTTCCCGTCCCTGCCTGTCACAGCTCCTTTGGCACTGAGCAGCACAGTAGCACTGATGCCTCTCTGCTTCCTGCTCTCTATCACTGCTCACTTCTGTAGTTTACTTTGTGAACATGAGCTTTTTGGCATAGGCTACATGATCTCTTCTTGTGCTTTCATTACGGTTCAAGCATCTGCAGAATCTACCTGCCCTTATCCTGAGACGTTTTCCTACTGACTGAGGGATACCAAGCAGCTAGCCACGGAACTGGGGTTATTTAGCTAGAGAAAAGGAGGCTGAGGGAGACCTTCTCACTCTCTACAACTCCTGGAAAGGAGGCTGTAGCCAGGTGAGGGTCCTTCTTTTCTCCCAGGTAACAAGCAATGGGATGAGAGGAAATGGCCTCAAGCTGTACCAGGGGAGGTATAGACTGGATATCAGGAAAAGTTTCTTCACTGAAAGGGTGATCACAGGTTGGAGCAGACTTCCCAGAGAAGTTATGGAATCATTGTCCTTGGAAGTGTTCAAAACACCATGCAGATGTGGAGCTTAGGTTTAGTGGTGGACTTGGCATTGCTGGGTTAATGGTTGAACTTGATGGTCTTAGAGATCTTTTACAACCTTGATGACTCAATGGGGAATCAGTGGAAGGGGCAGCAGTAGGAGCCCCTGTAGCCTTTTCAGTGGTGGTTCCCCAGGGGACATTAATCCTGTCTCTAGAGTCTAGGTTGCTTCCGTGCAATTTCTCCTTGGGGAGGAACTGCAAAAGCTGGTGGATACTTACCTGCCCAACATGAATATTTCTGTGAGCACTGTGCCTCAAACTTATTGACTGATGCTGGGATTAATTTGTTCAGCTGTGCCAAGGAGTTGCTACTTCATGAAGGAAAAAATAAATAAAAGGCAAAAGAAGAAGCTAATTAACTACATTCCTTTGCTTTGCATAGAAAAGACACAAATAATTCTCCTACCTGTGCAACATACTCTGCCATGGAACAGCAGTTCCTCCAAGTTATATTGACCTGTTAGAGCAAATGATTTCCTTAAAAATCACGTTTTCTATTTGACGGGTTTTCTGTCTCATTAGGGAGCCATTCAAATATAGCAGATCTGATTTTTATCACTACTGCACTGCAAATTAGACAGAGTGCTTCATGAAGGTTCAGTTAGGAAGAAATGTGATTAAAAACGTATCCAATTACTTTCATTTGCATATATAGTACAGATACTTTTCAGATACTATCTTTTATTAACCTTTAAGTTTCAAATACACCTATAAATAAATAAATAAGCCTGGATTTTTTCACTGTCTTTTGTTGACTGGAACTTTACCCTAGGAATATGTCCCTCTAAGTCTGCTGGGCTAGTCATACAGAGAAAAAAGTTACAAATAATACTACATGTGGCAGAATTTGGCTTGAATTTATCTTGATATGTACGTAGTCCTTATGCTTGGTTTTGTTTTTTGTTTATACAGGAAAATTAGAAATATATGCATCAACTTCTTAGCCACTTTCATGCTCTTTCAAAAGTATTTCTCTGAGCTATCGAATTTTTGCAAAAGCAGATGGGGAAAAAGCTCTTATTCTTTTGTCCCAGTCAAAGCAGATAAATGTAAGGAAAAAAAAATCCTACATTTGACTTTTTCAAAAATTTCTACACCATTGAAAACTAAAAAAAATAAAAATTAAAAAAAATCCATGCCTTTGGAAATTTGGCATGTTAGTGAGTTAGCCATGCCGGACTTCAAGTTTTTGTACTTTGAAATGTGGCAACAGGAAAGTTTCCCCAGGAAATGTTACTATGCTTCAAATACTTCTATTTAACCAGGATAGATCTCTAGTCTTGTTCTTGAAAAACTACTGTTTCTGGATGGAAATAACAAAAAGGAGGGGTGGGAGGGATCAGTCGGAGGAATGCACAGGAACGGAAAACCAAAAGTGAACCTGTTCAAATATGGGCAAGTTACAGGTGACTGAGCACAACGTTGTCACAGCGAGGATGAGAAGTCAGACTCAGTTCTCAAGAGATGACAACTATGCTGTCTAAAATACACAAATATACCACAAAATGATATGGCATTTCATAGGAGCTATTTTTTCCATTGATGTTGTAGGGTGAAGAAGGGCTCCCTGGCTTTCCTGGGCTGAAAGGGGATAAAGGAGAAAAAGTAAGTCCAATTTTTATCAATTACACTCTGAAAAGCTTAAGAGTTTATAAAGCTATTGTGGAAGTGTAACGAAAACTGACCCTCCCCTAAGTCTTTTGTTTTGTGCCTGTGTTGTGTCTCTTGTTTTGTGTTATCAAGGCAGTAAGAAAAGGAGAATAGGCTGTTGTATTATTTTTCATCAAAGTGCAGCTTAAGTCTTTAAACCTATTGATGATGCCTAGACACATTTGACAAACGTGTGGAGAACCCAAGGGCATCATCTTTGACTAAACTTTGTAAAAATCCAAAATAAATGAGTGAAGCAGAATAGGAACATAGTGCTAATACCTCTACATGAGAAACACAAGTGTTTCTTCAGTGTGAGGCATAGAAGGCCAAAGATTATCGTGTCTTTTCTTGCATTGAATATAAATAACTTTTGGACTGTGGTGGCCTTTAGCTGTCTACTGTGTCATCATCTTAAAAAAAAATTAATCCTGTACTGAGCTTGCTCTGGTGACTAGCATTTACTTTGGACGTATTTGTCAGAAATGCCTTAATCATAATTTGCAGGAGGAATTTTAGGAATTTAAACCTTTTCCACTAAAAATAAAAAAACAAATGTTCTGGATTGCAAGTGAAGATGTCCCTCCAAGTAACACACAACAACAACCAGCTCTGTACAATCACAGCCCACAGTGGCAATCTTGCAGTTCCCGTGACCATTTCTCACTTGAGCCTTTTTTTATGACACACTTAAAAAGAAACTGCTGGGATGCCTAGAAGAGCAAACACTGAGCCAGTTTCTCACTGTGTATGTTATCTTGCCTGTTGTTTGTCCATTGTCTTTCCATTCTCTTTTTGTTCTTTAAATTGCCAACTGCAGGCAGCAAGTTTGCCTTTTCTCCACATTTGCTGCAGTCTCCATTTGTTGTGGAGCCCCTAATTTCGGTATATTTAGTTCCATTCATCCTAGTGCACAGAAAGATTTTAAATGGCTAAAATTTTAAACTTAAGTGGTTCCTGGCTTTCTGTTTTTTTTTGTTTTCTACACCTTTGCACTGAGACTGAGACTCACTTCCCAGTGGGCAGAGTCATTCCTGAGGACTGCTTGAGTTTTTCAAGGCTTCTTTTCTGTTTGCTTTTAGGCTTACTACTTATGTATATTATAGATGTGCCTAGAGGCTTCTGAACTTTAGGACGGATGCCATACAAGCAAAGAGTAAAAAAAAAAAATAATTAAAAAATGCAATTTTTTGAGACAATAGAATGGTGAAGAGAGAGGCTGGGGGAAGATGATATGATAATATTAAGATGACTCAATGGTTATGTGTCTAATTAGCTCCAGAGCTTTTGCATTAATTTATTTTAAAATGAGTTAAGTGGCCAAGAGTGCCTACTTCCTCATTAGCAACTCATCAATTGTCCCTAGTGTGTTACTGTCAGCAGCAGCTCCTCCAGAAACTGTAAATAATAAATATTTGTGTTGAAATTATTCTCCTTATTCCTTATTCTTGCCTTGATGCACTGCTTGTGTCACTGCACTTGCAATGGGTGTTAATGCTGTGCTGATGATAACTCTGTTGCTATTACAGGGCTCCCTGGGCTCACCTGGCCCCCCTGGGAGGGATGGAGCAAAAGGAGAAGCCGTAAGCCTTTTTTGTTCCTCTCATGTAATCTTGCCTTTCAGTGCAAGGTAGGCAGTGGAAATCAATCCCTATTGAGTGGAACGTGTCTGGGGGATTTGTGTGGCCGTTTTAGGAGCAGCAGAAGCAAATGTCAGGAGGTTAATAGCCCCAGCACTCTCCCTCACGTTTGCGGCCAAGGCAGGTGTCACATGGATTAACCATCCTGAGAGGCTCCAGGGGCAGCTCTGTTACCATTCATTAAGGAAGGAAAGGGAGCTGTCTAGGCAGCCTGTGGTTTGGGACCTGTTGGTTAATAGCTGCAGCTGCAGAGCCTGGCCCTTTGGTTTATGGCTGGCAAGGAGTCCTCGGCTAGTGGAGATGACACGGGTGCAGGGGATCGTCTTATGCTCCCACTGCAGACAAGGCTTAGAGAAATTAGTGTCTTGGTGACAGAATCAAGGACCTGGACTCCTCTTTTGCATCTCTAAAAACTAAGAGGAAGGGAAGGGTGCCGGGTTAGCTCAAGGATGGATGCAGCATACCAAATATTGCCTGTAAGAGGACTACAGTTGAAACATAAAACCACAAACACATTTTCCAGTATCTTAGAAAAGTTTGTTTTAGAGCTTTATGTCCTTTCCCCTGCTGGATCACTATCCCTTAGAACTATCTTCATCCTGATGATGGACCTTCATCATCTCATTCACTGTCCCTTTCTAGCAGTCACTTGGTGGCAACAAAATGAACTCAGGGAAGGACTTTTTGGTCAGGCATACACAAAGGTCCGTACAGCAGAAAAGCTCTTTTCTGTTCCATGCAGTCCGTTTCTTTTTAGTACCACACTTGCTCTACTTTGGAAAAACTGGTAATTTTCCAATATTGCTTCCAGAACTGATACAACTTCATGACATCATGCCTGGCATGGTCTGGGATTGGACAGTGACATGCTTGTACTTGCAGAATTGCTTATGGGATGTGTTTATACACTGCAAGGTCACTATTCAAGAACAAATGCATTATGTTGTCTCCAAGGAATCCATGTTTGTAGACTGTAGTCAGTGCAAGCTGTTCACAACTTAGGGAACTAATTTCTTACTACTTGGTTGTATTTAGAGAGCAGATGAAGAGATGCTTCAGTTTTTGAATTTGTCTCTTTCTACTTCTATTTTTGTGAAGAAAGGACACCATAAAGTTTCAGATCTCTGGAGAATGCTACTCAGGACTGTAGATATTGGATAGAGCTCCTGTTTCTAACTCCATGTAATAACTGTTTTGAGCCATCCTAGGCTTTATATATAAAATATTAGTATTTACCAGTGATATTGCTGTTACTTGCAGGGTGAACCAGGAAGGCCAGGAACATTTGGACTGCCTGGGCCAGCAGGTCCAAAGGTAAGCTTTCCATTTCTTCTTTACATGGGCAGGCATGTTTTTTTCACTGGCTTTTTTAGAACTACTTCTTGTTTGACTTTTGATATTATCACTGGTGAATGAAGAAACTGAAAATGGTCATTTTCACCAGGGGTTTACTACGGTATTGGCAATTAAGCAAAGTATGTAAAACAGACTTACTTTTTGTTTAATAAACAACATAGCTGGAGAAGGTGAAAAGAACTTGTTTTGGGGCACATAAGCCTTGTTTCATGTCTTCAGTAGCCTTCCCAACTCTCACAAAGATGCAGATGAGAATTATTATCCCTACTTTACAACTGAAAAAAAAATCATGTAGAGATCCTAGCCTGGATGTTTCTGCACATTTGGGGATATTCAGTTTTGCACTGGTGAACAGTGGCTAAGTGATACAGAACTTGAGCCAATTCTCATGTCACTGGGTTTGCTTCAAGCAAGGTGCTTTTGAATAGAGATCTGATGAGACTTCTGAGCATGAGAAATGTGCCTTAATTTTGAAGCTCTTCTCATGAGCAATTTTTTAACCTCTTTTCAAAATCTGATCTCTCCTTGCCTTGTTCCCTGGTTACTGAGGAGGTAGATACCTCTCAGGTGGTTTCAGTCTTGATGTTATAACACAAAAAAAAGACAGTGCACTGTGACAAGTGTGTTTTTAAGGGTATCACACACAGCAAGTTCAGCTCATCCTGTGAAAGGTGCTGCAAGGACAACAGTTTGATTGCCTGAAAGAGTATCACATCTTCCTGGAAGAGACATATCTAGTCACCTAAACCTCCCACTGTTGCCTTTGTCCTCAAATAGGAGTTAAGTACCTGAACACTTTTCTGGATGCAGTTTTGATTGTCACTCAGCTCTATCTGAGAGGACTTGATGAAGCAGTTCATACATAGATCCTCTGGGTTCCTCAGCTATGGAGAGACCCCTTCTCCAAAATGTCTCTATCTTTGCATAGAGGGAAATGTTCATCCCTTCCTGAAGTCCCATCAGGAGAGTATTGGAACTAATGGTGTGTTTGTGGATTAGCAGGAATACTTGGCAGCCATCCCACAGTTCTCTCCTGGAACCATATTTGCTTCAGCAGGGGATAAGTGACAGCTGCAAAGCTGAGCTGAGTGGAGGCACACAATATTTTGTCTTTCAGTGGGATCCGGGACTGGATGAAATGAACTGAATTCATCACTCACAAATGCCTTTCAGCTGCATCTCTGCTATCACATAAACAAACATGCACTTTCTATCTGTCCTGCATGTTTCATGTAGTGGAATTACAAACCAGCAGATTACATGATGCTCTTTGTGGTATGAAGTTCCTCACACCTGCTTTGCAAAGCTTTTGCAAACAAAGCTAAACTGAGGCATCTACATCTGCCTCAGGTGGACTTGATCCTGCTCCACGTTTTCCAGCAGGATCATCAGGTACATGTAGTTCAGTCAAGCAAAGAGGTAATGCTGAATAGAAGAAATTCAGATCTATGGGCTGGGTAGGACAGGTGCTGGTGGGGCTGAACCTAAAGACATCTGACTGGCCAGTGCCAAGTGCTCCCAGGGAAGAGGTGAGCTTGGCTAACCCCAGCCTCTCACAGTGGATAAATATAAAATGACTGTGCTTTCACGGTGACTTTCATTTACCTCAATGGATGCAGTGGCTGTATGCAATGTCCTTCAGCTGGATTCTGGCCTGAGTTATTTTAAGAAACAACCATGACTTTGCTGACAGGGCTTTAAAATCTAAAACAGGAACCCACACTCCTTTACTCCTTGGTGTAAAGTCTGAGCATCTCATTGGTGTGGAACAAGGTGTATAAGGATTGGTGGAGTTTGCAATCAGAGAGGTCACGTCTCCCATTAGTGATGTAATGATTGGTTTTTTTGCCAGATCACTTATTTTTATCATCAGCGTCAATACGGCAGCTCTGGGCTCTACCCCAGGCTCCATGGAGAGCTACCTTGCAGTTTCTCTGGTCGGTTGGGTTGTGGTCCTTCCCAGCTCAATCCATCTTCATTTGCATTGAGCCAGGCCAGTGCAGTGTGAGCTCAGCAACGATACCTGCACCACGGGGAATTCAGTCCCTTGTTTATGTCCTTGGCTGAGGAGTCTTTTGCTTCAATGGGAATTGCCAGCACTTTCTTTTAAGAAGTTGTCTTGCAGTTTTTACAGACCTCATTAATTGTGTGAAGTTTCCAGTAGCACAGGTAAGGGTCCTGCAGACTTCTGGTAATAGGATTTCAGTCCACAGAGGTACCAAAATGTATCTGAGCCCATTAGGGCACACGTATAACTCACAGGAATGAAATGGCCTCGGTGTGTCATCTCTGCTTTTACTGCTTTTGCTGCTCAGTTATGTCTCCAGGGAAGATTGTTCCCAGCTTGGTGTCTTCAGCATAAAACTCTGGGTTTTGGCGTGTTTTTTTTTTTCTTGTTCATCAAACTTGGAGGATAAACTTGACTGATCATCGAGTGTGATCTTACTGGCTACAAGCTGGTGGATGCAAAGAAGTGCTCTCAAAGTCAGCCTTGTGCTGAAGTGTTGGAGCTTCTGGTTACAGATGTCATGGTGGTCTGAGAGGGCAAGAAATACCCATTGGTTGGAAAACTCCCAGGTAAATATGTGGCAGGTTAATTTATATGCAGTAAATGGGTCGAGACAAAAAAGGCAACAGCTCAGGTCCCTCAGGTATGATGTTATAGCAGTGAAACAAAGCTTGGATTTTTGAGATCAGACCCTTTAGCCTGTAATATCTTTCAGTAAATATTCAATCTTTTTGTGCTTTTCTTTTTTCTATATCTTTTTAATAAAAGGATAAAGAGGTTTTTTTGTGGTTGTCATTGCTATGGCATGGACACAGCTATAGCATTCCTATCTGAACTGACAGTTATCTGTACTTAATAGAAAAAGCAGAGGCAGAGAGGGGAAAAAGAATCAAGCTTTTGAAATATAAAGTACCTGGTAAGAGTTTCATTTTGACAAATTTCCTTCTTCCTTACTTCAGCTGTTGAAGGTCTCACGCTTCTCTGATTTACCAGACATGATCTCAGCACAGGCCTTGAGTGGGTGCAGCACATCTTCTCAATCAGACAAACCCAGTTTCTCTGTCTATAACTTCTGATGAGTATTATAACCATGTTTTATGTAGCGGTACTTAGTCGGACTTTAACAATTTGGTCAACTTGGAACAGGCCTCTGTTTCTCTTGGGGTTTTGCCTAGACTTTGGTAGTGTATTTTTCTGCAGGCTGAAGGGAGATGTTTAGGTGCATTCCTGCTGCTCTCCCTCTGCTATCAGAGGACTTACAATACTTCCTGACCTGGCAGAGGTTCTCATGTGCCTGATATTGTAGAGATCCCCAAGCTACCTTTCCTTGTGCTTGCATTCCACTGTTGTTAATCTGTGCATTTACATTGGAGAAAAAAAAAAAGTCTCAATTCTACTAATTAATTGCAGACACACCTTGAATTTAATTTTATTTTTTAATATGAAACATCTATTAATGTGAAATGTAGAAATTATTTTAAAATTATTTAAAAATAAAATCTCTCTTTTGAAGCCTTATGCCCATTACAGCCACACAATACAGGAGTTAGACAGTAGTGGTGGGAAAGGGGAAGTGATATAAGTAAGAAAATAATCAGTCAAACAGGTCATATAAGATGTCAAATCAGTTCTCTAGGTCAGACTCTAAGGGCAAAGCCTTGGAGCTGAGGATCCAGATCATTTTCAGACACTGTAAGACACATAAAAGTGAGTTCTCTCTATTTCAGTGTACACTCTCCAGGGAGAGTCACTGTGCAAAGAGCTGAAGGACTGCTGAAATGTACCTGATCCTCTTGCATTTCTCCCAGTTAGGCAAAAAATATACATTGGAGAATGTAGGTTTGATCTGTTTCTTTTCATTTACTCCTCAAAACATATAACCTTTTTAAGTCTGTAGTTCATTTATTGTGAGTTATGGCCTTAACTGCAGCTTTTGCAGAATGTATAACCGTGTTTTGTTCCACCAACACTGTTCAGGAGACAAAAGAGTTGTTGCACACAACTGACATTACCAAACCTTCTGAAATAACCTATAGAAGGAATTTGCATGTGACGGTTTGCCTTTGTAGGGCAAAACTGAAAGCAGAAGGATAAAACTTGCTAATGTCTAAGTGCCAGAGACAGAGGAAAATATTGGGGTGTCACTTTGGGTAGGTATTTGGAAAGTCAGATGATGCTCCTGTATCAGCACTGAGAGAATCAAGAAGCCTCAACAGCCTGAAAAAAACAACTTACATTTCTGAATAACTAGTTTTATTCTTGTTCTCTTATGTGAAAGAGTTTCTGATGGTTTACTGTATCTCAATTCCTTGCCAGGGATCCGAGGGAAAACAGGGTCCTCCTGGAATTAAAGGCTATGTAGGTGCACCGGTAAGTCATGTGTCTTCTTAAATTTTTATGGTCCTGAAACTTTCTTTACTTTTTCAGTGATTCTGCCCAGCTATATTTTTTTAATTGTTATTATTAAGCAGTATATGGTATGTCTGGCCCCTTACCAGCACTATGTCCAAATGGTGACACTTTCTTGACTTCACTAAGTTTCTTCAGACTTTTTTAAAAGAGAACAGACCTGTAGCCAGTAGAGAGATGTCAGCAGAATTGACTTTATTATTGAGATAACAGCTGGTGATTTTGTGATTCTCTCACCATAATGTAATTACTTTGGTCTGTGATGATGCACCATTTATATGGTGCTTGAAAACTTCATAGAACACCAAGTAAAATTACCACTTCTCAGCAAGTTTCCAATCATATTTTCAAAACTCTCAGGGGATAGTCTTTGGGCTCAGTGGACAAACCTGCCTCCAGTGAACAGACAGCCAGACCAAAATAAATTAGATTCTATCCAGTAAGCATCTCTGTCCCTGGGGTCCTCAGCACAAGAAAAATTCACGGACCTCTTAAAGTAGGTCCAGAGGAGGGTCATGGAAATGGTCAGAAGGCTGGAGCACCTCTCCTGTGAGGAAAGGCTGAGAGAGTTGAGGTGATTCGGTCTGGAGAAGAGAAGGCTCTGAGGAGGCCTTATTGTGAACTTCCAATATTTAAAGAAGGCCTATAAGAAAGGTGGGGACAAACTTTTTAGCAGGACCTGTTGTGGTAGGACAAGGGATAATGGTTTTAAACTAAAAGGGAGTAGATTTAGATTAGAAAAAAAAAGCAGAATGTTTTTACAATGAGGATGGTGAGACTCTGGAACAGGTTGCCCAGAGAAGTGGTAGATGGCCCATCCATGAAGATATTCAAGGTCAGCTTGGACTGGGTGCTGAGCAACATGATCTAGTTGAAAATATCCCTGCTCATTTGGTTGATTATGTAAACCCTCTTAAGTCCTCCAAATATACCCAGATATGCAGCTCTCATTAGCTTGGAGGTAAGCCTCCACTGCAGTGTAAAGTAAACTGAAGTTTAAATACAAATATGCCGTAATAGTAAGCAGCATTTTAAGCTTTGGCAGTTTCAGACAAGTCACTATTGATGGAAGCATATCTGCCTCTCTATAGCTATTAGCTGGTTGCTCAGTTTCCACAATAAAGGTAAAATACAAGGTGCTTGCTATGCCAAGGGAAGGTGAAATATGGTTCTTGCCCATTGAATTGATGGCCTGTGTTAGTGCCACATCAAACTGAGCTCCAGCAATGTTTCTGGTGTAGCTGGGAGGAGGTGAATTATGCAGTCCAGAGGAACACTGGCATTAGATTCACAGCACAAAAATGCGCTGGGCCTCCGGGTCAGAGTACATCTAACACTTGCCAGTTCTCAGAGCTACCTGCTGTCTGCCTAGCTACTGCATCCAGTCCCACTAGGAATGGGAATTCTTGCTTTTTTATGCGATAGGTTTTCCCATCAGTATCGTCCTCTACCAGAGTCCTCATTGTTTACAAGGAACATGAAAAATGCAGAGCATTGGTTGTTTTCCAGACCATCTGCAGCTGTGGTGTGTTCCCTGTCCCTCCACACTGCTGTTGGCAGGAGGGTTGTGTGTCTGCAGGCAATATAATGTTACAGATGTTCTTGGGCCCACAAGTAGTCCCTGCTCTGTGAGTCTACTTGGACCATGCCTGCGGCCAACTTTGAGGACTGGCAACTGAAAATGTCCTTGAGGTTCAGTTGAATAGATTGTGCAGATGTGCACAGTGACTTGGTGACTAATTAGAGGAGGTAACTATACCTCTACTTGGATTGAACTTTATAATCTCTGTTTCTTTTTATTTTTAGGGTCTACAAGGAGAAAGAGGAGAAAAGGGAACACGAGGAGACAAGGTATTCCTGCTGCATGCCAGGAAAAGCCAGGCTGTTCTTTTCCTCTGACCTTTAGGTTAGGTGGGCTGCAAGACCAGCAGCTCTGGAAGTGGATGGATGATGGAGTTTGCTCACTATACTGCACTTCCCCAGTGCTCTCCCATGTGCCCTGGGCATTCAGGAAAGCATTATGGATCTCTGCTGTCTACTAAACACACATTTAGGGACTTCTTGTCTGTATGTAGCCAGGGATGGAGGAGAGAGAGGACTGGAGTGAAGGCATGCTATTGGGGAGATCTAGAGGGGTGCCTACACTGTGTGTACCACCTGAGGGTTGTGAATGACCACTGACTGCTGCTGACAATATCTGCATCCATCTTACTCCATTTACTCAGATTATCCAACTTCCTATGTTTCTTTCTTCTCCCGTCACTATTAAATCAGGAGCATTAAGTACCAGGTAGTTTCTATGTTAAAGGTTTCGTCCAAATGGAGCTGCTTCCCAGTTCTATGTTCTTTCCTGACTTGAAATAGCTGTTTTACACAGTACAGGACACTCTGTAATTCAAACTATGTTATGACTTAAGGAAGAGACCAAGTGCCTATTATACCTGGAATAAGCCTTTAAAAAGAGATATGGGCAGGTGTAAGGTCTTAATTATAGCAGTTTGATATCTGTGATCAGACACATCAGATATGCACCTACTTCTGCTGTGGACCTGCCTGACAGTGCTCAAGGCTCCCCAGAAGTGCCTTGTCTTGCTTATGACTTAAGCTGGTCCTGAGATATCTCAATGATGGTCTGGCAGCTTTGCCTGTGTTTAAACTCTCTTTAGTGATACCTCTGTAAAGAGGGAGTCATTGGCTTGCTAGCACAGTCTTGTTCCCATTTCCCTCTCATTTCCATTTTCTGGAGAGGAAACCTGGCAATTTACACCAAACTTTTGCCTACCAGTAAAAATTATCAATAGACCCCTAGTGTGAGATATTGTGTTTCTCTTTACCAGTGTCCTTTCTGCTGTTTATGATAAAACAGCCAGAATTATATTTTGTATTACCTATCCTTGTTGATGCAGCCAGAGCAAAAGGCTGGATCATATTTTATCTTCCTCATGCTTTTCCCTCAGCCCTTTGCAGAACTGGTTCAGTGTGCTGAGTCCACCCAGTGCCTCTGCTGCTTTTCCAGAGGCAAGATTGTCTAATCTGCTGGAATATTTGGCTCCCGGAAGAAAATCCATCTTTCTGAAATCACCTTGATGGGAGAGGAAGCTGGAGCTATGTGTGGGCAAGCAGCTGACTAAGCTAGAGGAAGATTAAAATGGGGAAGAAATGAATTAGGTTTCATTTCATTAGAAGGATATGCACAATTAAGGTCCGTTTTTTGGGTTGGTATTTTTTTTATTTTTTTTTTCCTGAAGCAGCCAAATCTCTGCTACAACAATTGTACTTTGATTTTTTTCAACGTTTTAGTGATGGTCTCAGAGCACCCACTGCCATTACTTTAACTTCTACCAGTAAGTACTACTGTGAAAGCAGTGGGCGTAAATTCGACTGGCCAAATATTTCCTTGTCTGCTCTTCAGTCTGTAACTTGAATACTGACACCTACACAACCTGTGTTTCTTTGTGCCTGAGGAGAAAAGAGTTTATAATATCAGATGAAAGCAGCAGTCTGTGCACTGAGTATTGTTCTATCACATCTGCACCCTGAGCATCAAAAAAGCATACATATCCCATAATACATCTTGCTGCTTTATCCATATATTTTGGGACCTCAGATGTAAATATTGAGGTTTTACATTGAGGTTCCCAAATCCAATAGTACTGGTTACACTTGAACTTTAGGAAAACTACTGTACCACAGGAGGGATCTCCCATGGTTTTTGAACTCAGTGGGCTCGTTGTAGACTCCAGCACAGACTCTGGAGACAAGCACAATGCATTTCTCCACCAACATAAGCCTGGTATGTCAGGGATACTTGGCATGTTAATTTAGGCATGTGCAGCAGTCCCAGTTGACATGGGGCATTGCTTTTGCTGCAAAAACACATGTCCATCCTGTAGATTCTTGTCTGTTTTATTGAGAAGAGCTTGTGTAAGGAGGCAGCAGGGCTGGTCTGCTGCTGCCAGATCCCTCTGCAGTGGGTTTTTTTCTCCTTCACCCTTTTCCAGACTCGTGGGGAATCATTTTTCAACAAATCATTACCTTTTCTAACTGGTAGAGGTCAGAGAGTAGCACTAAAGTTTTGGTGAAATTGGGATTTTCCCCAGTTCTTTATGACTCTTCACCATTTTCTTCCAGTGCTTAAAAGCAGGAAGACCAGTAGATCACAGGAGAAAGAAATGGAGTCTTAAAGTGAAAATTTGAGAATAAAACTTTAATGTGTTTGTTCTTTCTGTTGGAAAAAATACCTTTCACTAAGTAGCTGTCTTTAAAGAATGGAAAAAATGATAACAAATATTTATAATGACAGATTTTTCTGTAGAAACAACAAAAAAACACAATCATTTGGAGTGTTTTCAAAGAGCTTTATTTTATGTATTTGTATAAATAATACATTTGCCTTTCCCAGCCCCCATTACTAGCAGTAAGAACATTGACACTTTTCTGTTTTGGCAGCTAAACCAGCATGTGTGAAGTACTCATTGCTGCAGTATATTGATGTTAAAAATTCTCCTGGGAATACACTGCACATTTTGTCAGCAATCTACCAGGATGTTGCTTACTGAAAGTCTTGAAATCAGGATACTCATAGTTCAGTCAGTGCAAAGGAAACCATTAATATGGAAACTATCACCGTAAAATCAAGTGTATCTGGGGTCTGACACTGGTTTTCTGTAGGATATGGGTCTCTCTAATTTCATTCCTTGAATACATAATTTAAAATAATATTTATGTTAGAAGACCAATTGACTTTCTAAGGAGGAAAAATAAACAAAGTGATTTGCAAATCCATTTCTGACTTGCTAAATCAATGTAGTTTACAAAAGGAGCTAATTAAATCCATTGGCGTTAAGTGTGGGTTTGTAGGTAATAACAGTTCTAACAGGGATTAAAATATCTAAACCATTAAAAAAATAGAATAAAACTAACATTTTGTTGTCACTGCTTGTACTTGTACTTGTACAATTTGTTTTTACATGCACATTCACGTTTGCATTGGCACTGTGTGTGCGTTTGATAGTTTATATTCAGCTGTGTGTGCAACATCCAAGTAAAATCCGTGTTACATTTTAGAGACGTTTAAGGAATTTACAAAGAAAAAGAAAGTCCCTGTTTCAAAGAGTTTTTAACTAAAGAAGCTGAAATGGTCAAGGACCACAATCTGTTAGACTGAAGTTCAGCACAAGTATGTTTTTGATCCAGTCTTTTTCTCTGTCAAGAACCTGGATTATAAAATATGGAATATCTTAAGCTTGAACGTGGAAGTACAGTAGAGGTCAGGGTCAGAATTCAAAATTATCTTGAAAACATAATCTCCCAAAGCAGAAGATGAGATTGAGAAAGGGGAAACTGCAGGATGATTCATAGGTGTAGGACAACAAATTTCACAGCGCTAAAGATTGGGAACAAGTGATCGAGGAGCTGTCCTGTGAAAGGGGCTTTGGGGCAAAGTAGGTGTTGTCCTGGCATTTAAACAGAAGAATAGTTTATGAAACATGAAATAATATTTCTGCTCAAAGCCTCAGCTGTGTCCAGGTTAATGCACTTAGATACAGAGAAAACATGCAAAAATTGGAAACTGCACAAAGGGGAGAAACAAAAATGGTCAGAAGTCTGAAAAACATGCACATGAAGAAAAGTTAGAAGTATTGTGGTTGTTAAGTCTAGAGAAGTTTGAAAGGAGAGTTTTGTAGGTCTTCAAATACATAAAATATTGTAAAGATGAAGGAAACAGTCTGTTCTCTGCAGGAGGTTAGGAAAAGAAACACTAGTCTGGAACTGTAGCGAGAAAAAGTCAGGTTTAGGTGCAGGCGAAAAAATCCCATATCTTCAGGTAATAAAAATAAAGTAGTGAAATTGATTGCTGTGGACTTTGTGTACTGTCCAGTTCTGAAGACATAAAGGAACCGATGAATTTTTCCCCCAAGTTACAGAAAGGATAGTTGAAAACCAAAACACTTTTTCTTTACTGGGGAAAACTGAGCAATTGCTGGATTGTGGATTCATTATTTTCGTAAGAGTTATTCCAGGCTGATGTTTCTCCTGGTGTATGCTATGCAGTTTTTGTGAACCCACCCCAGTAGGTAGAGGAAGGATGCCAACATAGAAAACTACTACACAGCTGCTTTTGGTCACAGCAACTTTTCGTGGTACAAGACGTGGGAACTTTAGACATTTTCTCTATTGGGCTGTCTGGAATTTCTCTCCTTATTCCTTACTGTTGGAGCAAATACCATGGACATCACCTGCAGAGTAGTGACCTAAACACCACAGATTTGAGATATAGTGGTTTTTTGTCTTCTTTTTCCAGGGAGAGAGAGGCCTGGATGGGTTCCCTGGAAAGCCGGGTGTGGAGGGGAGACAGGTACGTTGGCAAATAATGACTGGAAGCATTTTTTTGAAAAGAATGAAAGTTGACTCTTAAAACTGAGACTTATCCTGGGCAGCTGCTGAATCATGGCAGGACCCCCCCACATGCCTGCTCTAAGGGTTTTTGTGGGTACAGTTGGGGGTTTTTTTGTTTAGTTGGTTTTAGAATTAAACTATAATGCAATATACATTTAAAGGAAATGCCAGTCCTTTCAAATTGATAGGTTAAATGTTTGTCTTAATTTTTGTTAAACATATAAGAAATCACACATAAAAATTCAGTTGTTTAAACCTGATTTTTATGAACTTTTTTTTCCCTTCCCACAACATGAAAGGAAGAGAACTGGATTTAATATATTTGGTTTGTTTTCAATCAAAAAGACTTGGAACTATTTACATTTTCTAAGACAAGAACAAACCAGAAAATTGTCTAAAAGATCAGTACATTTCTGCTGATCAGACACATAATGCTTTGTCTAAAACCGCTATCTGTAGATCCCACAAGACTGTTTTCATTACTCAGGATATGATGCTTAATGAGAGGCATCCTTTCCTCTCAAGGATTTTCTGGTCTAAATAGCAAAGGACAAGGCAAAAAGCAGAGGCTAGAAGTGATTTCCAAAAGCCATGCAGCTAATCATTGCCACCCTTGAGTCTGAAGCCTCCAGGCTGCTGCATCTGCATCCTGCTCTGTTTCTCAGTCACGGTTTACTCCGTATGGAGAAGTGTGTGTCTAGTTAGTGTTTATCACTATCCTCATAAGATGGAAATGTTTTCTGGTGCTACAGGCAGCACTGGAATCTCAGGGAGTTGTGTTTACTGTGCCCATTATACTGATTACAGAACTGGTTTCTACTTGCAGCAAATGTAGATGAAGTGGGAAATTGCACAAGGACATGAAGATGGATCTTGATTGTCTATTGTTCCAAAGGAACAATTTCTCCAAGTGAAGCCCTGTTACAGAAGTTGGGTTTTTGGAAGCTTTTTTTCCCTTTTCATGTCTAGACACCTAGGAGTGGGCAGATCTTCACGCCTGAATTTGATACTGAATTTTGTGTTTGACACTGATATACCCACTGAACTACAATTCTTTTGAACCAGCTGAAGTTGGGTTGGTGTTATTGTGGCTGCTGTGGCATCTCCATCATTGTTCTCTTTCCTCTCTATGCAGCAGAGCCAAAGCAGCCTCGTGTGTTCTATTAGCTCCTATACCAGTGCAATGAGACATCACCCTTTGTGCTCCCAATATCTGCAGCCTTATGTTTTTCCTGTACTTTAAAAACAAAGAGTTTTCTCTCCATTTTACCTGGTTATAGGGCCCTGCTGGCAGCCCCGGCCCTCCAGGTGCTAGTGGGACCAAAGGAGAAAAGGTAAGGTGGGATGGGATGCACAGGAGGGGTTTGGAAACACATTTGTTAATTCTTCTTGGGCCCCCAGTGCTGAAAATATCAGAGCTGTTGGTCTACTATTTATCTCATTGTGTATTACTGAAGTTTATATCCATTTAAACGTTTAACTTTCCTGGCATTGCTTCTGAAATGGGTAAAAGCAGGTATTAAAGTGTGCCTGGTTATAGCTCCACTGCTCTTTTTTAAGCCCCCATAGTGGGAGTAGAAGGAAATAGAATGCAGTTTGGGTCAGAAAATCTTCCTCACCCAAGAAATGTCAATATGTTTGTGTAGAAGCTGATTTTCTGACCCAGGAGATGTAGAATTGACTCAAAAAGTGTCAATAAAATGACTCTGAGCCTCTTACCTGCAGAATAATTATTCATTGCACTCAGCAGCAATTTTGACCTTGTTATTTTTACAGTTGTTAAAGTTTTCAGGGCAGCCTTATATTTCCCTCTCTGTTAGAGATGATGTTGTAGTTTTGATATTTCCGACACAGGTCTTTGGCATGAATGGAAAGGCATAGTCAGTTCTGGATTTCTTTCTCTCTTTCTCCTCCAGATAAGGCAGTGAGCTTATCCAAGAATGCAGAGATTGGAAGCAATACTCTCTGTTCTCTCTCTGCAGTAGTGATCAGTCTTGAGTTCATAACACTTCATCCATGTCTCTGAAGCAGCCGCATCTGGTGCTTTCAGAAGACGTTTTGCTCCTTGGTCCAATACTTTCAGAGCAGCTGCTGTGTGTCTCTTCAGTATTTCTTCAGAACAGGCCAGTTTGGATGGGACCCTGGGCAACCTGATCTAGTGGGTGGCATCCCTGTCCAAGGCAAGACAGCTGGAACTGGATATGCTGGTCAGGCTGGATTGAGATTCAATAAGGCAAAGTGACAGGTCCTACACTTGGGTCACAACAACCCCTGCAGTACCACAGGATGGGTACAGAGTGGCTGGAAAGCTGCCTAGTGGGAAAGGACCTGGGAGTCCTGGTCAACAGTGGCTGAACATGAGCCAGAGTGTGCTCAGGTGGGCAAGAGGGGAAAGGGAATCCTGGGCTGTAGCAATAGTGTGGCCAGCAGGACCAGAGCAGGGATTGTCCCTCTGGGTTGGGCACTGGTGAGGCCACACCTCAAATCCTTGTTCAGTTCTGGGCCTCTCATGACAAGAATGACATTGAGGTGCTGGAGCATGTCCAGAGAAGGGCAACTGAGCTGGGGAAGGGTCTAGACAGTAAGTCATATGAGGAGCAGCTGAAGAAGCGGGGGTTGTTTAGTCTGGAGAAAAGGAGGGTCAGGAGAGACCTTATCACTGTATACAACTACCTGGCAAGAGGTTGTAGGCAGGTGGGGCTCAGTCTCTTCTCCCAGGCAAGTAGCAACAGGACAAGAAGAAATGGCCTCAAGCTACACCAGGAGAGGTTCAAATTGGACATCAGGAAGAATTTATTCACTGAAAGGGTGGATAAGAATTGGAATGGGCTGCCCAGGCAGGTGGTGAAGTCAGCATCCCTGGAGGTGTTCAGAAATGACTGGATGTTACACTTAGTAATTGTGGTTTAGTTGACATGCTGGTGTTCAGTCAAAGGTTGAGCTCAATGCCCTTGGAGGTCTTTTCCAACCTTAATGATTCAGTAATTCTCTCTTTAAGGCCTCTTTCAACCCAAACCATTCTATGACTCTATGAATAAATAACAAATACTAGTTGACCTTGTCTTCAGAGAAAAGAATACGAAAAATATGTTGGGTCATTCAGAGACCTACGTGAGTAATGAACAGAGTGTGGAAGGAAGCTATGTGATCAATTTAGCACCAGTCTATACCTAAAGTAAAGGATATACCTTCTGGATTCATAGTCTTAAAGCATAATACATGGTGGACATTGCTGGAGAAAAATGGACTAGAACAAATTGATAGCCTATATGACAATAAATCATGGGAAAAGGGTGTAGCATCTCAGTGTCCTATATAGTATGTAGTATGATTTGCTCTATAAAATCACTTGGGGAAAGTTCTTACTTTTTTTGAAAAGTTATTTTGGTCATTAACAAACAAAAACATTTTTAACCCCCCAAATATCCATCCTCTTGAGGGTCTGTTGGGGGTCTAAGCATCAAACAGGTTAATTTGTGTGGTATGTGGGCATCAAATATAAGATTTTTGAAGTACAAATCTACTGCTATGGTGCATCTAGTGCATCATTCATTTTAAGTCACTAAATGTCATTAAATCAATGTAAACATCACAGTAATAAAGACTCCAACTAGTTCTTGGACCTATTCCTCTGCAGAGCAGAGCAGATTGGTATTGAAAATAAGAATGTACAACAGCAGCTGGAAAATATGCTCAGAGGTTTGTTTTCATTTTGCATTATGTTATGTATTGTGCCATGTATTGTTGTGGTCTGTGTTATGTTTTTTAATTTCTTTTGTGTTATCCTGCAGGGTGAACCAGGACCTCCAGGATTGCCTGGCACTTCAGTAAGAATTATTGTTTTTTCAGCTTTCTCATACTTTGTAGGCATTATTGCATGAGAAGAGAAGGTGGAAGTGAGGGGTGTGGGGATCTTACTGAAAGATGTTCTTAAATATTTCTGGTGTGTTTTTTTTTTTTTTTTTCAAAAAAGTGAGACTACAGGCAGTGAAGATTTTTGAAGAAGGGAAGTGATAGGTTCAGACAAAGAGAAGCACTGCCACAATTTTGGGATATTGTGAGTGCCTCTTCAGGACTTGAAGAGGCAATGAAAGCACTCCTTAGGTGCATCAGACAGAGCAATACTATGACAGGACTGTGTGGTTTCTGACAGTCATTGAGTTGATTCCAAGTGGTCTTTGGTACATAGAGCCTGTAAAAGTCATAAAAGAAAATGAAATTCCAGAATTGAGTGCCTTTGACCTAGACTCAGTGTGAGAGTTGGGGAGAGAGAAGAAAAAGGCAATTTCTGATGTGGGCGAATGATCTTTCCTTGGCTTATGTCTGAAAAAGTCCTGGTGGAATATAAGACAACCAGGACTTGATGTGCTGGAAGTACGGATGAAAAAAGAAAACTGAGAAAACAGGAGAATGGGGCTTATCTTTCCTGTGGCACTAGATTTATCATCCTTAGTGCATCCCTCCCTCTGCCTTCAGCAATGCCTTCACTGATGCCAGGGACATCACTGGCAGGGATGTAAGAATGTCCTGAGACTAATATTGTCTGTATGAAGAGATCATCTCCAAGTGAATGGAAGAAGATTTACCACGAAGTATGCAGAGGAGAGGTCTAGAACTGAGTTCTGCATGGGCTGGTAATAAAGCAGTTAGGCAGTATGCCTTTTACTAACCAAAAAAATAGGATTAGTATTAGGAAAGAGCACTCTTTGACTATGGCTGCTAAAGACAAGAATGAGAAGCTCCCTGGTAATCATGGGAAAGACAGCAGGCATTTACCTTACCCAGAATGTGGTAGAAAGTAAAGGAATGAGAAAAAGAATGCTATGAAAAAAAACTCATGTTTGGGTAAGAACCTTTTACCGTCCTGCTCAAATGTGGTAGTAATGATGTGACAGGAGCTGCCAAGAAATTTTGAAAGATGCATATAAAAGCTGGAAATGAGCCTGAAGCTACAGCAGGTGGGTGCAAAACAGGCAGGGCATATCTCAAGCTGGTCTGCTGGTTATGCGATGCCTTCTGTGTTCAACTGATCTTTGTAACTTTGAGTAAAAGAAGATCTGGGGAATTGACTGACTTGTTTATATGATGAGATAATGAATTAAGTTCTTGCTGTTTATACAGCCACACAAATCATTTCATAGGTAACTGTGTCAATAGGTAACTTGTGTCAGCCTGAGCTGTTTAAATAGAAAACATCCCCCAGCCTTCAACAGGATCTGAAGAGCTGTAGGAGTTACTGAGCAACTCGAAGGAATAGCAAGGGGAGAAAAATACCCTGAGGGGGACCATCATACCCTTGCACCTTGTCTTTACTTTTTTCATTCTTTATGACTCTGCGATTCTATTGCAGGTGCATATTGAAGGCCTAAAAGGAGAGGAAGTAAGAGAGATTCAATATCTATTCTTTCATTGCAAGAATATTTTAATGTAATTCTGTTTTCTGTTCGGTTAGGTTTTTCTTTAAAATAATACTGTAAAAGGAAGGTGGATGGAAGCATTATCAGGAAATCAAGAAATAAGTTTTCCTATTTACAGTGGAGAAAATAAACAAGAAAGGAAGAAGGGCAATGTTCTTTTCAGGTGCAGTGAATCTAACGCGAACGAGAAGTACGAATTGTACTGTCGGCTATGCAATTATTTAAGAACAGGGAAGGGTTAACATTAAAGTTAAACTGTATTTGAGTTTTATGCCTCTTTTGTCTGTGAACTTGGGCACTCAAACTGGGAGGCATATCCCTTGCTTCAGTCTGTTAGCCCTATGTATTAAAAAAATATATTTAAACTTGATTTTGTGTTGGTAGGTGCCTAATTTGCATTTACCTGCTACTTAATATAATAATTTGCGTCATATAATCGATACTTTAAAACCGTTCAGAGCTGTGCTGGCCTGGGGGAAAGGCCTTTTGAAGCTGTTCATGCAATAATTGCTCTTCTCCACCATCAAACCTCCAACCCACAGTGTTTTATTGGAATACTCATGATATCCCAGTGTCTTTGGTAGAGTTACTATCTTTAAAAAGCAAAGAGCCAGTTATGGATAAATGCCTGCTGAATGTGGGTGGATCAGTCTGTGGACAGTCTGATGAGTGCTGATAATTCAAGTAGTCAGAGGTTTAAGGAGAAAACCAGCTGGTCTGCACTGTTTTTTTGGGACCTATGGGGAAAGGGGTGGTATAGGTCCTGTAAAGACAGACAACATGACTCATGTGCCCATGCACTTTTTCATAACGATATTTTAACTTTCTTTTTAAAAAAACATTTCTGTAGGGAAAGCCTGGGCCACGAGGACCACAAGGCCAACCTGGACTTCCTGGACCTCCAGTAAGTTGTTTCTCTCGCTGTTTGCCATTCCAGAAGCTGAAACTCAGACTCCAAAACTTCATATGTTATTCAGGCACTAAGATATTTAAACAGTGCCCACAGCCTCCATTTTAATTCATTGCTGAGAGAAGGTGTTCTGCTGTGGACGGCCACTCTTAACACAGGGAGGTGGCACCCAGGACATGGGCAGACTTTGCCTCAAGGCTGTCGTCATGCAGAACCTCACTGGTTTTCTATTTCTAATGTCCTGTAGAGCTGTATAGGCAATCAGCACATCTCAGAGAGGCACTCACTGATAACTTGTGAGCTCTCACATCATGAAGGTCAGGGAACAGTTGCTGTCAAAGGCATTGGTGTTATGCCACAAGGTCTTGGTTAAAATATTTTGTGGATGAAAACTAAGAATTGGGTATGTGTGTTCACGTTTCCACAAAATTTTTGCAACAATTAACACATGCCAGCATTCTTAATTTCAACTTAAATTGCAGTTTATTTGAGTTATATTTTATAACCCAGCTCTGCAGGATATCTCATTTCAGATTGTCACTGCTGCCTCATTTGCAAACACTGTTTCCTTTCTTTTGAATTGTTCACTGTGTTTCACTGTCGATTGGCTTTTGTAAAATTGATGACATTGTGAAGATCTGTTACTTACATAAATCTGGTTTGAATTATGTAATTTAAATATAGTTCTGTGCTCTGTATTTAATCAGGGCATTGTCACTTTTCTCTATCTTGTTTTCTCATTCTCTTCTGCTCAAAGGACAGCATAAATATCAGGTAAGAGTTGCCTAAGTAGCCTCACAGTAATGGTAGCACAAATCAGCTAGGAAATTGTTATACAGTTAATTAGTTTCTCTTATTCTGTTAACTTTCTAAAACTTTTAACTTTTAAAGGGAGAGCCTGGTCTAGAAGGCAAGCCTGGAGTTCCTGGTTTACCAGGTCAAAGGGTGAGTTTCTTTTTTTATTTATTTTGATTCTCAAGAGGCTTGGGATGCCTTTGTTCAATGAAGTTTACTGCTTTCACCCACTTCACATATACGTTTCTACTTATTTAAGGATCCTGGAGGCCCAGATCCTTTCCTATCTTCCTTCTTTATGGTCCAGCAGCTTTCAGTATCTCTTGGAGTCCACAGGCTGTATGCAGTGTGATTTCTTTCCTTCCGTGTGCTTCCATGTGATTTACATCTGTCCCATACTGCCAAGAGGATTCTTGATACGGCTCTGAGTGCGTAGGGCCAGCAGTAATGTGGTCAGGTTGAAAGCTCAGAGAACTTTTTGTTGTCCTGGAAGTCAAATAAATGTAAATACACTTACAATACTTAATGTTTTCCATTTTGTTTGGTCTGTACTCAAAGAGAAGGTCCCACAAAATGGCAGCTGGTGAACCATTCTCCATCAGGAGCTTAGTTTTCCTGTGTATGAAAGAATACTGGATTTTTTTCTGACACAGAATTATGTCTTCAAATATTTAAGTACTGCTAAAGTGTAAATTTCATGGTGGGCCTGATGTTAATACATGTTAATTCATGCTCTGAAACTGCCTTTCCTCGCTTCAGCTTGTTCACATGAAGAATATCTCGCAACAGATAAGAGTGGAAGTGAGACACCTGCTTAGCCTTTGTGGAGTCAGTCACTTGGGTCTCAGCTCTGCTGTTTGAGGGGCCACTTTTTTAAGTAGTCACAGAGACTTGATCATAGCTCATTCCTTAGAGGAGGTCATGGGGGTTGCCTTCAGTGCTTTGCACTTGAGTCAGCACCAGTGCTGTCAACAGACTGAGTGTGAGAGCACTGCCTGTGAGCATGGGAGGGGGATGGGCAAAGGACAGTACAGGGAAGAAATAAACACCTTGGTGAGTGGTTTTCTACAGACTTTTCATTGGATTGCATGCTATTAAATGGAGCTGTAAGCATGACTTTTAGGAATCTTCTCCTTGGGAAACGCTACATGCAGTCTTGTGTCAGCGCCTCAGTGGAAAAGAGCATTTACTTGCTTTCCTTTACTTTCCCAGTCCTTTGAAAACATCACTATAGCAAATAACTGTGCAGTGCTTTACTCATGAGTTGGTAAATTCAGAATTGTTCTGTTTTTAAAGCCTGCTGTTTCTTGAATAAGATTAATAGAGCATATTAGCTGAGTAAAGGACAGTGATCTGTCAGGACCTTCAACAGAACAGAAAATGCTGCTGCTAATGATCATTTGATTAGAGATGTCATTTGATCCATACTGTCTTTGATTTCTTCCCTAGACTCTGTTGTGTCTAGCTAGTTAGACTTCTCCTAAGGGTCTTTATTAGTCACCAGGCATCTTAGGTTAATGGATATATTTTTTAAATTAAAGGCCATTATTCAGTGACTTAGAACATGAGATGAATCAAAGTCCTGGGTTTGGTGGATCTACACAGAACTTTTTGGGGAGCAGATAACACTCCCAAACTGAACAAAGCAAATGGACTCTGTTCATTTTATTAGTCAGCTTCTTCCAAGTGCCTGGCACTTGATGTCTGCATTTTGACAACATCCTCAAGAGCACACTGGGGGAAGAAAGATTCTTTGCTGTTCTTATGTGTCCTGTAAGAACTGTCAGTGACAGACAGTACTGTCTTGATTTTATTAAAACTGATTGAAAAAGAAGTAAAACTCTGAGAGACTGGTTTAATTTTAGAGTGGTTTTGTGGTTTTGGTTTTTTTTTTCCTGTCTTTCTTTCTCTTTCTTCTGTGAAATTGAAGAGAATTGAAGTACTTTGATTCTTCTCTAAAGTATTTGACACCTGTTCTACTGAAATATTTGTTGGAAATAAACCAACTCCCCTTCTTGATGGACACAAAAGGTGCAGATGTATGACATGCTCCTGGAAAGCACGCAGATCTTTGGGCAATCCAGCTTAAACACAAGATTCTTCTGAAGTGTACTCAATGACTTGGATTTCAAGAATTTGCCTCTCTTTTAAATGATACAATTGCATTGAAGGGATTGATATTTCAGAAGGAGACTAAGGGAAAACATTTATCCTGTAGTGGTAATTCCCACACAGGCACGAGGTAGGAGCTAGGCCATTTTGAGTTTGATGTGCTGGACTGCATCTTAGTTTTTGCATTGTCAAAAATTTTCCAAGCTCAAAGTACAATCACTACAAAGCAAAACAAAACAAAAAAATACAGGAGTCTCATAGGATAGTAAGAATAACCTTATGAAAAGAAAATTAATGGAAAATATCTTTATAAAACAGTAACCTTTAATGAATGTCCTTCTTCATGTTTAAGACTCCAATGTGCATGAGTCAGGCAGATAAGTAATAATAATTATTCCCCTTTTTTCAAGTTACTTCATGCTCAAAATAATTCGTGCAAAGCACAAAATGAAAGTTGGGTGTAAAATTAGAAGTAACTCTAAAAATGATATTGCAAGACCCTTTCTGTGAGCTAATTGCAAAGTCTGGTGTCACGGTCTGTCAGTTTGGAGACAAGAAGAACGAGCACAGCTCCAGGAGCAAGTTACAAAGCAGAGGCCTCTGCATCTTTAATTCAGTTGTCACGTTTCAGCAGGTTTTCATGTACATGTGTCCACATGCCCTGAATGTTTATTCCTGAAGTCAGAACACTACAAAAAAGATTAACAGGCTTTTCTTGTCTCTTTACAAGTAGATTACAAGGCTTTGAGTCTCAGTAAGTGCCATATATTTGTTTTAGAGTAGAGCCTACAGGATTCTCTCAAAACTGGGGAGTACTGGGTTTAGGGCACACCCTCCACCCAGAGAAGTGTTAAGAGCACTTGTCAATACAGAAAAAGTTTATCCCTGCTAGCTGTCATGGGACAGATAAAGTTAACAGACCTCTAAAGGGCTGCTGAGCTCTTCATATGTTCGATGGTGGGACAGAAATACACGTATTTGAGTTTCCATTCTTGACCCATCTCTCTCCTAAGTGGGTTGTTGCATATGATGTTCCTGTTCAGGTCAGTCACAACTTGAATTCAGCAGTCAACACTTTCAACTCTTATTTCTTTGTGTATAAATTTCACTTGATTTGAACCACCTTAGACTTGCAGGGTCCAAGGGAAGGAGATAGTTCATTGGTAACTCCAAGGGGAGAAGTGTAATAATTCAGGAGAGAGAGAGGAGAACAAGTTCACCCAGCAAATTAGGTAAACTATTTGGAAGGAGCCAGTCCCAAGATGTGGTCTTTCTTGATGTCCAGAAGTCCTTATAAGCCTTTACTTTGCCACAACAGCCCTAATAATCCCCTATAATCTGGCCAACCCTGACAGTATTTTCATCCTCAAGCTATGGAGATGATCTCACTTCAAAATTTACTATTGTTATCTAATGCATACAGAGACTACAAAAGGTTGGTGCCTTCAGGGACCTCAAGCATTGACTAACATTGCTGGACATCTTCTGGCTTCTCTAGTAATGTAGAGGTAAAAAGACGGGGATGAAATGGATAATCCCAGCATCCCGCTAGGTTACAGAGGAAACAGTTGGCATTTTTGTTCACAGTCATATTTGTTCACAACTAAGGACATTTCCTATGTACTTGGTACCAAATTCACCTCTATTCCTGCGGCCAAACATCAGAGGAAAACATGATAAGAAAATATATAGCCATTCTGGCTATTGGGACAGCAAGGTGGCAAACAATCTTGGGCTATGATACCTTTCAAACTTTCCCCTGTAGCAGAGTGGAGACAACATTTTCCTTGGTTTCCTGTCTTTTGTATAGTAGATACCTTTCTGATTAGTGGTTGTGTTTATATTTATTTGTAGGTGCTTAAAATGTTCAGATGACATTACCTGCCCTGACAAAGTTCAGCCATGCAGAAATCAAAATGTAAGCAAATTAGTAAAATGAAGGAAAAAGGGATTGATGGTGTAGATTAAATCTGGAGTGAAGCTATTATTGTCAGTGAGGTAAAGACATCCATTTCCAATAAAACACATTTTTAACTGTGCTGTTTTTCAAATTGCTGATGAAGGCACATAGCATATATCATGTAGTTGAAGGATACACATTCTTACACACTTAGCAGTGTAAGATTCTAACTTTCTAACTATAGGTAACAAAGCATAATTGCTGGGTTTCTCTGTCATATTATTAAGAAATGTGACATTTCACTGAGCTTTGCTCCCATAATTTCTTCCAGCAAGTATTTCTGTCCTTCATAGACAGACTATAATGACATGGAGCAAATCTGTAATAGTTTGATTTTGGCCAACCTCCGAGTGGCCCAGATGTCCCCTTCACAATGGGAAACCACTCTCAGTCTCTCCGGCAGTATAATTGTATGTTGCTTTAAGGGATTTCTTAGTGTTTGGAAAGCACCAAAGTTTCTCAGCATTATACCCAAGGAAAGGATAAAAGGCTCCTCTTGCATCTCTTATTGCTGCCACAGATTAGTGTGCCCAGGAAATAGCATGGAAACAGAACAGTGTGTTGGTGGGACACGAAGGAATTGGTTACACTGTGTTGTATGCTGGCCTCAGTGTTGTAATTGTGGAACCAGCCACCTTGACCTGTAGCTCCCACATCGAGTGGCGTGCAGGGATGCTCATCTCCCATGTCTGACTCCACCCACTACATCCTGTATGATCTATTCAAAAGCTTATTTATTTATTTAAATGAGTTTTTTAACAGTGTCCTTTGCATGGTCACCTTGGCAGTTGGTAAAATGAGCATCTTTAACTTGAAAACTGACATTGAATCATGAGGTGGCGTGAGTCCTCTGGGTTAAAAATGGGCTCTTTTTGGCTTTGACAAGAAAAGAAATTATGGATGTTGGGAAAAGTAGATGGAACATTCATGAATCATGCATGCACTTGAGTATATAGTGCAAGTTTTTTATTGGTATTAGAGTTTTGGAAATGATTACAAAATCCTTCTGATACCCAAGGACCCCATGGTCATTCCTTTAGTTTTCTTCTTATATTCTTCTGTATGTGACTTCTGATTTTTTCAGGTTTTTGGTTTTTTTAATGATAAAAATAGTTAGATGATCAGATTCTGACACACCAGCTAATGAATCTCAGTCAATACCAAGGAAAATATGACAAAAACAAGTTTTGCTTGTGATATTTTAGCTTTTTCATTCATTTAAGTCAGTAGGAATCTGTTTCGTAGGATTTCACAGATTATTCTGAGTTGGAAGGGACCCATAAGGATCATCGAGTCCAACTCTTAAGAGAATGGGCCATACAGGGAATGAAATGACAACACTGGTGTTATTAACACCGTGCTCTAACCAGCTGAGCTACTCTGGGGGGAGTAGTTGTTCATAGATGTTGTTTCTGGACACGTTTCAATAAAGAAAAAATAAAGGAAAAATTATGTATATGACTTTTAAGCATCTGTATTACCATTTATATCATCAGTGACATGAAACTTGCTTAATTGTATTTTCCTCCAAGAAGAAAATCAGTCTGGATGAGAAGTAGAAATGAGGGAGAGTCCCTTTTCTCTGTCTCTCAGACATTTACTTGACTCCTCTTGTATCCTCCTAGAATATTGCTAACAACTTCAGAAGCATTAATTATTTAGTGTCTATTACATATGAGGAAAGAATAGACAATTTTTATAAAATATGTGACTTGCCTGAAGTATCACAACAAGTCCACTGTTGGGTTGAGAAACAAACCGGACCTCTGCCTTAACTTCAGTGCTACTCCATCCTTTTTCTTGTTTTACTCATGTAGGATTTTTTTCCCTTTGAACTATTTGAGGTCAAACCCATGGGAACACAAATGCTGCTGCATCTATATGGTTGAACTCATCTCAAGGGTATACCCCAGATTCTGGTTTATTCTTCCTTTGCACCAGCAAAGGTCTCTGGTTCCTCTGGAGGGTTCTTTTTTGTATGCAGAGGAGTCAGTGAGCTCTGCGTCCCTTGGCGCTAATGCCAACCCTAGTTAGAAATACCTCAGGGACTCCTGTTTCCCATCTTAGAGATCGTGAATCTTTTATATTCATCCATGCACCAGAGTTCTTAATTATTTTCTTTCTTAATGCATGAAGCAGTGCAAGGGACAGAAGTGAAACTTCTTGGCTTTGTTGGGGATGGGCGAAGGGCTTGACTATAGCAAGCAGAGTGTCTACACTTGGTACCTCCCTTGGCTGCATCTTATTCCCTGATTCTCTGTAGGGAGCACCCAGGTGGGATTGAAGAGAGTAGGAAATGCCATGATGTGCATGAGAACAACTCTCAACTTCAGGACTATTGCCACAATCTGGGAGATACAGAACTGTCAAATACAACAGGAGTTCAACTTCCAAGTGGTGTCTGTTGCCTTCATTTCTAGCTTTTGTGATTTGTGTACCCACATTATGGTGATTTGCCAGTCTGGGGGTGAAAGACTTTGGAAATTCAATAGCCGTCTTCGGTCTGTTTTTTAATATTTGCTCCTCTGTTGAACATGCAGGGTAAAAAGGGAGAACCAGGATTCCCAGGAATCAATGGTCTGATCGGTCCTCAGGTAAGCAATGACTTCTTCATTTTCATATAATATGTGGAAAAACAGATTTTGTTGAAACAAGTGACTTGGAACCACAATGCAGGATGTATGATCTTCTCCTCTGTACCATATTTTAATCTGGTGTTTCTCCTTTAAGACCCAAATAATTTATCCTGTTGTGATTGAGAGAATGTCTCTCTGGCAGCATTTACTTTTACCTTCCACAATTTTTCATCATCTTTGAACAGGGACCTAAGGAGATGTTCTGTATGTGATTTCCCCATTGCTTTTACCTAGAGCAGCATCATTCCAGAAGGAAAGCATTGATTTGTGTTTTGTAACATTTAGGACAGTGTCTCAGCTAATTGTTGGCTGTGTGAATTGGCAATTGCAGACAGAGCTCCTGTGCTGCAGTCTTGAGGGAAGAAACAGTTTAAATTTATTTACTATTCAGAAAGAACACTTTGAGCACAGGACTGGTTTTGTGGCTTTTGACATTCATGTTTCTACTTGTTATAGAGGAATAAGTGTTGGCTTGTTGAGGAAGCTAAAGGCAGGGGCCTAAAAGCAAATGTTTATTCTCTGTGTGAGGAAGGGGATTTCTTCAGTTAATGACCCCTTAGCTCCTTTGTTTTAAAGCTTTTGACAAGTTAGTGCTGTAAATTACACCATCTGTGCAACATCATAACATCATAAGGGGAAAATAGTACTGTGTGTGTTAAGAACCATCAGAGAGGATTTGGCTCCACCTTAGATCTGCCCTGTGTTATAATAACACTGACACTTACCTCTGGCTTGGTTTCTTGCTAACTTTGTAGACAAATTCAGCTGACCAAAGTCACTTTGTAGGGCCACCCCTGCAACATGAAAAATATCTGTGTGAATGTCCTCAAGAAGAAAGTCAGAACCTCACATTTTGCTGAGCACTGAGGATAAAACAGCATTTTATTCATTCTCTTCTCAATGACAAATTAACATACTGGACTTTGGCTTTAGCACTCTGTTTCAATAATTGGCAAAGTTTGGGGCAAGAATGACAAGCCTCCACTGCTACAGCTGTTGGTGATGTATTGCAACAAGCAGCACAGTGCCGGACAGGAGATACTGATTGTTCATTTATTTCCTCTGGCAAGCCGTGCCCTTGTAACCAGGAGAAACAATCTCGAAATGGTTTGTGTGGCAGACGTTTTGTAATGAGCTGTTTTCAAATGTCTGTGGAGGATGTCAGAGAGGCAATCCAAAGGCCTGTGTCCTTGTGCAGGTGAAGTCTCTTGTGTCTGGCTGGGAACCTTGCCCTGCAAAACACCACTTGATACTGGTTTGCATACTTAAGGATTTTTTTCCTTTGGTATGTTTTCTAGTCTGCAAGTATTTCAACAGCAGCCTTCAAGAGGAATAAAGATGGTATTTCTAATGGATTTAAAAGAATTTAGAATCACAGAATATTCTGACTTGGAAGGAACCCATAAGGATCATTGAGTCCAACTCTTAGCCCTGCACAGGACATCCCCAAGAATCACACCATGTGCCTGAGAGCATTGTCCAAATTCTTCATGAACTCTGTCAGGCATCTTGAACTCTTGGATTATTGAGTCCAATTCCCTGCTTTTGTTCAGTTTGGTTTTGTTTTCTTTGGTTAGTTGGTTGTTTTTTTGCTCTTTTTTTTTTTTTCCCATTGGATAACATTGAAAGGTCCCCCAAGCCTTCTGAAATATTGAAAAGGCATTTTCCTTCATTTTGGAGGAAGATTGTTCTCCATGCATTATTTCTAAGATACCTGACAGTATTCATCCAAGTAATGTCACACTTTCTCAGTTCAGGTTCCCTGCAATTAAATATATATATGCATGAGTTAGCTATTTTATAAAAGTATTGAGAAAATTACTGACACAGCATTAGGTAATTTTCTTTTCTGTACAACTTAAATAAAGTTAGCAAATTTTAGGTTAATTAAAACTGCATAGAATGCTAAACCCATTGAGGGATACCTAAATTGACTCTTCCTCCAAGCTAACTGCAAAAAAGGAAAAATGTTGTTCATGTTCCTGCAGTGGCACTCTGTTGTGGACATATTACTGCAGATTTCCATATTTTTCTGTAGAGAAAATGCTTACAGTTTGTTACAAAACTACTTTTCAGCTTAATGGCACTTTTCATGGCATTAGATTTTTACAGCATTCTATCAGCATTTTACTTTTTTTTTCTTAATTAGGCTATGCCCCAAAAATACCCAGGAAGAAAAATGGTTTTCCTTATACTGTGGTTACATGGCTATTTGTTCAAGTTATGTATGGAAGCCTATGTCAGCTGTTCCTGTGCTGTCTCCATGGCATTGAAGGACAAATGATTTGAGTTGGCTGTACATAAATTAGTTTAGGACATGAAAATAGTCCTCCTTTCCTCTGCTGTTTTAAATGTAAATATACTTTTGTTTTCTGACCTGATTACCTTCACTGATATCTGTCTGGGCAAAAGGAAGGAGTGGGTGTAGGAGCTTTAGAAGGCACCTTGTTGCTGAAGGACATAGAAAAGATGATCTGAAGTTATCAATAGCTGCAGTCATGTTCAGTCCAACTGAGAAGCCCCAGAAGATCAGGGAGCTGTGTAAGAGAACTGACCTGAGGGCTACTCCTGTGAGTCCCTTTCAGCTCGTGTTATTCTATGATTCTGTGATCCAGTGATGAACTGGAGTTGAGATGAGTCAGTCCAACTCTCAAGGACCATTTGAGAGCTAATTTAAGTGTCAAACCCTGAAGCAGCAGCTGGGAGGCAACTTTTCAACTAGCCTGATGTTGAGGGTTGTTTTGCAACAATAGAGCAGCCGTAGCTTTGTCTTTCTCCTTGCACACACCAACTCAAACTAAATTTTAAGCAAAAACTATTTTAATATATTTAATTTTTGTTCCAAATCAGCTGTGGTGGTGAACTTGTCCCTTCGCCAATTTGCTCCATATTGTCTAGTCAGCACCCCCAAAAATATGCATTTGTTTTCTAGAGACCTTTAGAAATAGTGCATCTTGTAACATAATTAAGCCATGGAATAGACACCTTGAGTATTTTTTCCCTTCTGGATGTGAATGATTTCCTGGCAGCAAGGACATAGACATCTGAACTCATACAGTGTTTTTGTTGTTATTATTTATTTGTACTATTTTAGTGTCCAGGAACCTTAATCATGGGCCAAACTTCTATTGCAGTAGGCTGTTCAAATGCAGACTGAAAAATGAGCATTTCTGTAAAGAGCTCTCAGCTGAAATAGGTGGATGAGTACCAGGCAGGGGAAAACAGGCTGTGCATTTCTGCATGGCCACCTGAGATAACACACCTTGTCTCTCCCATCATCTGGTGATGGGAAGTGCTCAGGGAAGGGCTGGAGGTGGTTGATGAGGTACTTTTGCAAATGCTTTTCTAGGCATGAGGGGTATCCTGAGGAGGAGGGAGACTTGCAGGCAGGCAGTGCACACTGAGTGAGCCATGAGGGCTGTGCGTGCAGGCTCAGCAGGGACGGCAGATGACTCTCCAGTGCAAACCAAGGGCTCAGGCACTCTGAGCTGTATCACAGAATTCCCAGGGCTGGAGTTCAGCTTCAAATGCAAGCCCTTGTTGGGTTAAGGATGGCAATGCAGGTGTCTGCTCCTGTTGATGAAGATCCAACTAATAACATCAGTGGAGCCTGAAACTCTCCTAAAAGAGGCACCTACAAGTTGTCCACTGAGCCACTCTCAATTCCCTGAGCTGAGCAGGTACATTCTGGCCCCCTGTGAGACAGTAAAACAAGCCAAAACTATTTCAGATTTAAACAAAAATGTCATTCCTCACCCTCACAATAACTCTGGGCTGTTATTGAGTTTTGTTTTATGCTAGATAACCTGGTGGTATAAATAAGACTTGAGAGGAAGACCAGTACAAGCTGTACCTATTATGGTCATGGCTGGCAGTGATTTAATTAGTATAGACTTGTCTGTAGGGTGTGAGCTCAACCCCAGCTTTTCTTAAGTAATTCAGGAAATAAATGATCTCCTCTGAAATGCATGGTGTCCTTAATGTCCTTTTTATAATGCCAGTTAATACTACAAAATGTAAGAAAAGGATATGGGCTCCAGCTGCAAACTCAGATTGAATTCAAACTTTGCCAGTGCTGCTTGAAATTGGAAGATATTGCTCAGAGCTATCCTTAATAAGAGTTATACCGTTAAAAAAAAAAAAATTTCACCTGTGCAGATTAGTAACAATGTTGAAACAAAAGACCTTAAAGGAGGAGTTTTTTGTTGTTTTTCTTATTTGCTGCTCTGACTAAGTAAACCAACTCCAAGCAAACACATAGCAAAATAAATCTTCCTCTATAGACGAAAGAGATCATGTCCACACCTTACACTAAGTGATGAAATTAAACAAATACTGCCTTTCACTGGAAGCAGAAGACTCTCCTGGACAGAATGCTATGTAATCAGTACTTTTATAGAGCTGCAAAACCAGTTTGGAGAATTTTGGAGAATAAAACTTTTATTTTAAATTTAAGGTTGGTACTCCAATTCTTGCTGGTATTCCATCTGTTGCAAGGACCGGAGAGCACATCCACTTATGAATTAAGACACTGACAGTGACTATAGGACACGTATTGTGAGTAAATACTCAGATCTTAGGCTCTTTAGGCTTTTGGTTTTCAGTGTCATTAGCAACAGCTTTTTTCTGTATCCTCTTACCTTTGCATTGATTTGTAAGGCAAGATTCAACAAAGAGCAACTTGGTGCTCTAATGCAGCATTACTGAAAAGAATTCAGTGATAACTTTCATTTCAAATTGAATATTAGGAAAAATTTCTTCACTGAAAGGGTGGTCAAGCACTGGAACAGGCTGCCCTGGGAAGTGGTAGAATATCTGTCCCTGGGGCTTTTTTAAAGACCTATAGATGTGGTGCTTAGAGACATGGTTTAATGCTGGCTCTGGCAGTGCTGGGTTACTGGTTGGACTCAGTGGTCTTTTCCAACCTAAGCATTTCTCTGATTCTATAATTCTGATTCACAGTAGTTCTGCTGGTGGATACTGTAGTACCTGGGATGAGAAATGAAAAGGATATTTGAGGATCTGATCCCAGAATACACTCAGACGCAGCAGAGGAGAAATGGAGAGCTGGAGTAGCAAGAGAAATAGTGAGACACTTGGGCTGCCCCACACAACTATCTGCAACAGCCTCATTTCTCATGGGAAAGGAGGGGAAATAAAGGAAAGAGCACAAAAATGACGTGAAGGGTCTGTATGGTCTTTCTGAGAGGTGAAATCACAGGGAGCAATTGATTTTGAAGTGAAGATGAGCACAGACAGTGGAGGGGAAAAGGCTGTCAGCTCCTTAGTTACTCATTTTGCTCTAACTGTGGCAGCAGAGAGGATGCTTCCGCGTGTCTCTTCTTCTAACACTGGTACACTGCTTAAAAAGCTCAGACCACAATCTGTTTTAATATCATCTAAGGGCTTATCTAAGCCTTTCTCGTGGTGTAAGAGAATCCAGTCATCAGCATGGAACAATATACAGAAAATATGTCTGTGCAGGCTTTGCCTCCAGAGACACATATCTGGGAAAGCCATCAGACTTCACTTTTCATCGTGGAATGGCATTTGTTCACCTCCCTATAAGACTTAGTCATCCCTTCTTTCACGGAAAAGAGATTTAAGCCTACTGATGGAGTCACAGACCAAAGTTTCTGTTCCTTCTCAGAGATTCCTTAGGGAGTGCAGAACCTAAGTCTTAGTAGCTCTGCCTTTCCCAGCCTGTCTTTCAGCAAGGTATGCACTGGAAGAGCAGTAGATCCTGGAGCACAGGCACGGCTGTTCCTCCAATATGAATAGTGTCAGATTTCTTTCCTGAGCACTGTCCTCGCATTATATCATCTAAGGAATGGAGCTGGATGAAACACAAACTGGAAGAAATCCACCCCCCACATTGTTTTTGAAGATGTCCCAACCCCTGACACACACATTTCTACACACTATTTGGATTTTAGATTGTAATGAACATTTGAAATATTTTTTGTTTGAAAGCAACAGTTTTAAAATATTTTGGTTTAAACATTTTGATAAAAGATCCACATTTTGCATTTGTTTTCCAAACTGAATTTGTGTAGTCCTGTTTTAGAATCAAGTTTTCATGTACCAGTTTTTGTTTCAACATGTACAAAGCACACATCAGAGTTACCATCCAGAAAAAATGCACTCTGTGATTATTTCCTTCTTGATCAGAGTTTTAATGGGGTAACATTGGAGTCTCGATTTGGGACAGAGGCTTTCATCTGTATAATTCATCAAATGTAAAAGGTGATTGTATAAATCAGCTACTTTAATCTGGATTCACTTAAAAATGGAAGCAAAGAATACTGATGGTGTGAGATTTATGAGGTGCATATTGCACACAGTCCTGCTGCTGTAGTTTTATGGTGCTGAAGTTTTTTAAACACAAATAAATGCTGTCAGTTTCATCCATTCTAATACTTAAAAAGAATATTCCTTGCTCTGAATTATACCCAGAAGTCAGGAGAAGGGCTACAATAGCAGATATTATATAGAAGTGAGACAGAATTGCTCTGCACGATAGCAAAAGAGAGTGCTCTAAAAAGGACATTTATGATGTATTTCTGCCATTTTTTGTCTCTTTGTACCATTTTATGTCTCTTTGTGCCATCACTTGCTATAGCTCAGGTTGCAGAAAGCAAGACACCCAGTTGAACTGCACATCAGTCAGCTGGAGCAGGCTGTCAGCACCCTGGGCATCTCCAAGGGATACTGATGGTCATTGCACAAAACTGTTCTTTCTATGCCCATCTCAGAGAAGATTTTATCAGAAGAGCTTCCCGTTAGTGAATGTACCAGTTGTTGGTGCAACATGTGGTGAAGCTGTAAACCAGTTTGGAATGATATCCTGGGTAATTATCTCTTGGAGACCAATGAAATGGAATCATTAGTGTCAATTTAGGAAAAAGATCAGTGGGCTTCCATTTCAAGACTTAATGGTTGCATAAGGCTATTATGGTCTAGAATATGGAGAGTCTAAGAGAATAATTAGAAATTGTCTTGGATACTGAGAATACCAAGGGTTACTGAGAAATAGTTGGGATGTGGAAAATGTGGAGCCTAACATTTTAGTTGTTACACTGGTTGCTGACAGATGCTTGAGTAAGACTTTGCTTTTAGGTCAGATTGACACCTCTCAATCTGTCACTATGTGAGGTAACTCACATTGTACTTGAAGTTCCTTGGGTCGAGGTTGGGCCCTGCCTAGGGTTTTTCACCTCTTGGTAGAAGTTCCCTGTTGTAGGGCCATGGAGAACATGTATTTCATGGTGGGCGATGGTTCACTTTTTGGCAGAGAGAACAAGAACAAAATTAAATTGTTAGGAAGGAACCACTGGAATTGTCAAGGAAAGCCTGCAAAGATAAATGTCACAATTCCTTTCCTGCACTTACACAAAGTCCAAGCTGAATCATTTTGTTGTTTTTCTAAATCTTTGCTGCTTTCTATTCCACCCACTCTTCATGGAAACCCCTTCCTGGAGCCCATAACTTCTGTAGGGCCTCTCTCAGGAAGACCATGTAGAGGTGGAGTAGGGCCAAGCAGAATTTCCTTGTCCCTGGTGTCTGAGGTCAGTCCATCCAGTTGTGCCTACAAACAGTTGGTCTTCTATCTTCTGCTGGGCTAATTTGGACTGTTGAGTTTTATTTTGAATGGTGAGGTCTTTTTTAAGTGATGGAGAGTCTTGACCAATTGTCTCCTGATGTGTCTAGAATCTTTAAGAGCAGGACCCACCAGCAGGATTCACTAAGAATTGCATCATCAGCATCAGAGCATCCAAAGGCACTTCTTTCTGGGGATGTTATAGCTGTGTTCATATCTGAGGCACTCTACAAATAATTTTAACAGGATAAGCCCGTGCCTGTTCTGAGTTGCAATGAATGCAGATCAGGGGAGGCAAGCGCATCTACAGGACTCTTTTTTGATCACTTTGCCCCATCTATTGGTGAGAGGCTGCTTTAGCTTCTGGCTGAATTTTGCCAGTGTATTCTATAAAGATCACTTATTGCCACAATCTCAGTCAAACCATACCACAAATAGCTCCTTTTTTGCACTGTTTTCTTCTTCTTTTCAGCTACATTTCTCCTTAAATATAAATGCTAATATTGATTGCAATACCTTAATATTGAATGGTGACAGGGAAAATACTGTCTGGCCATTTTCTACCTTGTATCAATTGCTCAGTTTCAAATCCTTACAGAAGGTTTGGGTAGGATAGGGGAGTTGTTTGTTGGGTTTTAAGTACAATCACACCAGAACTTCCCTATGTTGAAAACTGAAAAGTAATGAAATCGTCATGTTAGAAGATGGAGTGAGTTAGCCAGGGTAAAATCTCAACTCAGTCATATATCTATTTCTCACATCCATCCTCATGCTGTTTGCTCAGGTCCTGATCCAAAAAATACATGAACACATGCTTTGTTCTGAGCACAGGAGAAATCCTGTCTTGTCTACAGGGGAAGCTGGCGGTAACAAACACCTCTGCATCTCAGGCGACATATTAGGGCCTGTCAAGTCTGGAAACAAATTTCTCAGCTAAGAAGCCGAATTTAACAATTTGCTCAATACAAAAATAAATCCTTCTGTACATCAGATGGCTACTGAAAGAGTATTTTTCCTGAGAGAAACAGCTGTTGAAGGAAGATGGAAGGAAGATGAGTAAGAGTGTTAAGATATTTTCAACTGAATGTGTCCACTGAAGTATGAGTTCTTGAGGACCTTTTACTGCCAACCAGGTTGATGTAGAGCAGCAAAATGGTGGTGTGTTTGTTTGAAAACACTTGAATCACTGCAGTGTTCTCTGGACACTTGGATTGATATTTTTACCCCCACCTCCTAAAAAGAAACAAGCTCAAACCACAGGCCAGTTCCATTCATTAGTTACTTTCAGCAAGGTTTTTGCAGAGGTAAATCATTCACTTTGAAGTAACATGAATGAAGGTTAAATTAGATGGGATGTTCCAAGGGATCCCACTGGTCAGGCTTTGTGTTGTAGGTACCATTCATGGCCTTCAGTTCCTCCGTCTCTTATACTGGAGTGGAGGATGGAGCTTACCTTGTAGCACAGTGGCTTAAGCAGAAGATCTTATTCTGTTTGTGATCATGGATCCCTTGGAGCTCATTTTGCTATCTTGCATTTTTTGGGTAGAAGTTAATGAAATAAAGCTCAGTGCTTTTGCCCGTTTTCTACAGGGCCCCAGCCACACAGAGAAGGACCTGAGGCTTTCAGCCACTATTAGAGAGTTTGATAAATTGGCTTTGCTTCCTCTCTTGCAGGGACCTCCAGGGCCCCCTGGCAGCGCTGGACCCCCTGGACCACCTGGAGCACCGGTAAGAAAGCTTGGGGTTTTTTTGTTTCACATCAAGGAGAAGAAAAAACAGCTGGGGATAATTTTAGGTCATGGTTTTCAGAGGGAACAGAGTTAGGGCCTCTGGCAATGTGTGTTTTCTCTTATGTTTTCTCACTGCAAAGCCACAGCTGGTCCTAGAGGACAGTTGCTCTGTGCTGAGCCTTGGAGACATGACGGTGCTCCCTGGGGATAAGGGTTATGTCTACAGGACTCCCCACAGCAGAAACCTGACTGCCATGGAAGGGGAAACTGCACTTTGATTGAAAGCAGCCATCTCCTGTGAGGCTCCTGCAAAGGACAGATTTACTGATTATTTTTTTCTTCTGATTTAATTTTTCAGGGACTGCCAGGAGAGATTGGTGTTTCTGGTAAAACGGGACCACCGGGACCACCTGTAAGTGTTGAGGAACTGTTTAGCTCACCTCCAACCTCTCCATTACTTCAAATTGTTTAAATCTCATGTCTACTTCATTTCCTGTACCTTATCTGCACACAAGGTTTTAACATGGGCTCCAACAACTTCACCTTTAATGCAGACATTAGTCTCCAGTCCCTTTTGTGAATAAGAATTTTACCAGGTACAGCCCCACTATTCCTACACAATGGGACCATGATATTTTCTTTATATGATACTTTTCAAAAGTCTTTGTGCATTTGACACAATATTGTTTTTCCAAACCTGGAATTTCCTGAATCAGGCCAAATAACTTGCAATTAAAATCTCATATTTAGCAGAACATAGAAATTTCTGTTGGGTCTTAAGTCAAGAAAGGTAAATTATTCAATACTTAGTGCAGAACTGCCACCTACAGCCTGCAATGTTTGGGGATAGATTGATGCTCAGAAAGGGAAAAAAGGTTTTTCTCACTATTTTAAATACATTACAGGAAGTAATTTTATTTCTTATCCTGTTGAACCATTCAGTCACTGCTTGTTGTGTAATTTAATTTTAGGAGTCTATATACTGTATAAGAAATTACTAATATTTAAAAGGAGAAGTAGATGTAAAAAATTCTTTATGGTTATGAATGATAGAGACTTATAAAGAATAGGTTTAAATGTAAGTAAGATAAGTGAAACCTTATTTAACAATCCACAGTGCATAAAAGTGCTTTACTGATGCTTCTCTGTAACAACACTGACATCCAGTGGTCATTCACTAAAACTGGGGTACTGGAAAAAGGGCCAACCAAATATGTGCAATGTGAGAATTTTTGTGTGTTTTGAGTCACAGTAGGAAAAAAAGGTAAAACAAAATCCATGAGGTGGTTCTTCTTTTCTTAAACTTAGGTGAGTGATGGGAGGCATGAACTGAGAAATATTACCCTGAGTTTGATGATAACAATTTGAAGAACCAGCACTTACAGGTTATGATTTCCTCTTATTTAGGGGTTGCCTGGCAAAGATGGACTCAATGGGCTTCCTGGGCTTCCAGGCCAAAAGGCAAGTGACACCATGTACCTGGGATTAAGCCGCTCACCTGGGCAGATCACTGGGGTGAGCTACCAAGGGTAGGCGGGAAGGTTGGCACATCTCCAGAGTCAAACACCCCCCCCATCCCACACTGCTGAGCCACCAGTGAAGCTCCAGGGCCAAGTCAGCTGGTGTGATTGCACTGCCCTGAGTCGTGATGAAGATGGAGCTGGTTGTAAATACAGCAGGGAAGAGAGATCCTCTTCCAGTCTTCAACTACTATATCCTATTTGGCAAACACAGCTCAGCACTGGAAGCAGAGAAGCTTCTACTGTCATTCAGGAAATCCAGTGACTCTGGCAAGTCAAGACATATATCCAAGGCACAAAGAAGAAAAACAAAGAAATGTAGCAGGCTCCAAAAATGTTAATTTCTTTCCTCCCTGAACAGCTGGAAACAAGAGATGCCATCCCCCTAAGCCATCTCTAGGTCTTTGTAGCAGAAGGATAATTCTTTATTATGTTCTACTTCTTATGCCCCATTTGAAAGCTTCTCTAAATGACAGATTGTGATGAGTTGTCTCCTCTCTTGTCTCTGCAGTGAGAGAAGGGAGATAGGAGATTTGGAGATAGGAGATTTGGAGATAGGAGATTTAGAGATAGGATACACCCTAGTTGACCTGCCCTCCCTATGAAAATAAGTGGCAAAGAAATGTGCCATATTATGACTAAAAAGGCTAAAGTAGGCTTTGGGGATGATGATGCCATATTGGATTAAGGGCAACAGCTCTTAACCGTCTGTTGCCTTGGACTGCATTGGCAACAACATTCTTCCTTCTGATACTTGAGCCCAGGTCTAGAAGAGTCTCCAGCTCCCATTTATTGATGAGTAAAGATGAGAAATTTGGAGCCCACAACATACTTCTGATGTTAAATAAACTTTGGATTTTATCCACAGCCCTCTGTAATACTTACTGCACTTCCCACCTATGCAGCACATTTCAACCACTGCAGCCTCTGCTGTCCGTGCTGATACCACTGGCATTGGAAGATAAGTTTCAAAGTGTTTACATAATGGATCCAGTGACCAAGGTCTCAGTCCCAAAATTATATGTTTGTTTTTTTTTTTCAAAACACTTTCTAACTTTCTAAGCACATATAGTTTGAAGAAACTGAATGGAGGTGTTGTTTTTCAAATAATTCATTATGGGCATCTTTAATATAACAGTGGTTCACTTTGTGTCATTCCAGAAGTTTTCCAGTAGGGTGACAGGTGCTGGAGATATGATTCTACTGTAAAGGAAATACATTCCAGGAACCATATTCTCACACAGCTCAATTTACACCCTCAGGCTGATACTGAGGAGTTGAGTTAAAATATTCCTTACCATTGTCTGCAAACATGCTACACTATCAGAGGAGTTGGAATATTGACTTCTTGTGTTCCCTGCAGGGAGAACAGGGGGAAAAGGGTGAGGAAGGCTTTCCTGGAAAAGCTGGCCCTAAGGTAAGGGATTTTATTTCACAGTCTGATGTAGCCACAGAGTCAATCAGGGTGTGATTTTGGAAGGTCTTATACTGAAGTCAGAGAAATCTTACTCTCTTTTAGTTGGAGACATAAGTGAATGAGCAGATGAGGCTCATTGCCTGTCAGAGTTCATGGTGTTCTGAAATACCAAACCCTATTTTATGCTGCTCCCTCAGGCCTAAGTGCACAGGGAGACCTGACCTGGACTTTGTGTTGGCTCCCTGTGTTCTGCATACCCAAGCCATCAGAAAGGCAATTTCAGTGCCTTATGACATGTTGGTAGACCAACGTGGGCCAGGATAGTAGGGGATATATTTTACTAATGAGAAAATATACCAAAGGGTCAGGTCCTTATGGTGGTAAAGTTTTGCTTTTGTTTTTCCAGGGTGAACCAGGGAGCCGTGGCCAGCCTGGCGAGCAGGTGAGCAGGAAAAATAGTCCTCAGAGAAAAACCTACCTGTCAGAGCAATATAAAGTGACCACATGCGATAACAAAACCATTTGCCAGCGACAAGATCTGTGCATGTCATTTGCATCTGCAGTTGAAGATGCAACAGATGGGGGGGATGAGACTCATGGTTGAAATAGAGTAAAGCAAAAATTTCAGAACAAAGATGTGTAAAATCCAACTTTTCATTATACCCTGGAAACATGAAATCATCTTATTCCTGGTGGATAGGGAAGAATAGGAGGGTAGAGTGGCTTCAGTGCTTAGTTTCCTTCACACCTCAAGTTAATGCATAGTGGTGGTTCTGGAAGATGATGTTTGATGCAAGAGGTGATGCTGTCACTTCTAAGTTGTAAATGCTTGCTGACTGTTACATAGTTATCTTAGTTAACTAACCATAAATGTTGACATTGTTATCTGCATGTCAACTTTCCAACTGTATTATGAAGTTCTGTTGAAAGAGAAGTCTGTATAATAGAGTCTTGTATACGAAAATTTTTGGGGTGCAGGGTATATACCAGCAATGAAAAAGTCTTAGAGCCAAATTCTTCTTACTCCTACCAGTATTAGTCTAATCTTCTGCTGTAAAGACCAAATGGGAGGATGGTCATGGCTTCTGCTCCCATGTTGGCTTATGCAATAAAGCAGAACATACACCACCAACTGGACTTGGAGGGAATAAGGGAAGAAGCAGTGGTGGGGGTCAGTCTCTTCTACCAGGCAACAAGTGACAGAGCAAGAAGAAGTGGCCTCAAGTTGCTTCAGGGGAGATTTCAGTTGGATATTAGGAAAAATTTCTTCACAGGAATCATTGTCAAGCACTGGAACAGACTGTCCAGAGAATTGGTGGAGTCACTGTCCCTGGAAGTATTCAAAAAATGTGTGGATATGGCACCCTAGGACATAGTTTAGTGGTGAACATAGTGGTGGTGCTGAATTGATGGTTGGACTTGATCTTAGAGGTCTTTTCCAAACTTAATGATTCTATGATTCAATGATTGAAGGAATAAGGCTCCAATTCTGAGGTACAAATTGAGGTTTATTGGGATAAGGCACTTATTAAGTGGGTAACAATTACACCACCCTGTGAGTGAGGACTGTTCTGCTTCTATTCCAAAATTCCTTGTAATCTACCTAATAGGAAACACTCATTTCAAAGAAAAGTATCCTCGCCTGCCATCCCAAGTAAAGGGAGATCAACAGGGCATGGGCAAATCATTCGTCAGGAGCACATCAGGCTCCCAGGGACATGCCAGGCTTGCAGTTTCCAGGCAGGCTTGGTTCCAGTGCAGCAAAGGGTCAGACCCCAAACAAAGCACTGCCCCTTGGTCAGAATCATTTCTCCACACAAGGCTGTTTTGAATTCTAACACCACCTTCCAAAACACTTGCTCCTCTCTCGACAGCATGGTGTTCTCCACACCTTTCATACATGTTCTCTTTTCTGTCACCTCAGTCATGAATTAGATACTGAATAGTGCAGACCCTTAGAGGACTTCACTTTGTATATCCTCTGAATTTTGACAGGAAACAGCTCATAGCAGGTGTGTGAATGTTGTTTCTTCAATCAGTTGTACATCATCCTCCAGAGACCCTTCTACACTACATTTCTGTGGTTTACTAATGAGAACATCATGTTGGCCTGTGTCAGATGTCTTACTAAAGTCAAGATACATTATACAAATTCTTCCTTCTTATCTACTTGGTTATCTTGTCAAGGGAGGGAACTGGATGGGTTTGATATGGTCAGTTTCTAAAAAATCCATGTTGGCTGTTTTGTATTATCTGTCCTTGAACTCAGACAAACTCACTGATGTTTTGCTTCAGGACCTTTCCAGAGGCCAAATTTACACCACATGTTTTTATTTTCCCTCCAAATTCTCCTTTTTTCCCTTCTTTAATGTTAGGCCCTCTGATTGTTGTCCTGATTTCTGGCATCTCAACATCATTCGCATCCCTGGAAGAGCTCAAGGCCAGGTTGGATGGGGTTTTGAGCAACCTGGTCTAGTGGAAGGTATCCCAGCCCAAGGCAGAGGGATTGGAACTAGATGGTCTTGATTGTCCCTTCCAACCAAAACCATTCTGTGATTCCATGATCAGCCAGGATTCTGCAGTGACTCTGAGAAAGCACCACTCTCTCTGTCACCAAATGTCACTTTCTTTAAAATTGTCCCAACATCACCCTGATGTTCCTGGTCATCCTCAGTCACCACAGCACCTTGTTTCTCACCTGATTTTGTCTGCAGACTTATTTCACCTATATCATGATAATCTTTTGGGCCTTCCCATACCTGAGATAATTGTTTTAAAGCAGAGATCATCTTTTCTTAGTTCAGTTTTTGTACAAGATTTAGTGAATTTGGGTCTTGGCCATGACTGAGATCCTTTGTGATATCACACTACAAATGCAGGGAGAGCAGAATAATTATAAATAGGAAACCACATGGCTGTTTTCAGATGACAAACTGGGTCAACTGAGAGCTAAATTTGAGAAAGTGGATATATTTAGGAGAAACCACATGACATAGAGATCGTAATTACTCCAACAGCAAGTATTACATCAGAAAATCAAAGGCAAGATTCAAATAGAAATATATCCAAATGTGCAAAAGTGCATCCAGAAAATTCTAGATCTGTTCTTCAGGTAACATCTGTACTGTTCAGATTAATACAGTGCAGTTTTTGCATTTCCAGACTACACCAGATGATTAAAGATGAAAATAAAAGTTAGATTTAATTTCTTTAGCTGCTTTTATTTGCTTCCTTGGTCCTGCTACAGAGTAGCACAAAGAAATAATGTCCCAAATTCCATGGCATCAGTTAACAGGCAAAATGGAGAAGGCTTGTCTGTTTTATGTAATGGTTTTCAAAAAAAAAGGAAATTATTCGATAATCAGACTAATCCCATTATCTCTCAGAAAACTACATCTACAATCAAACCCTTGAGAAAACGGGGGCAAGGTCTGTACCACAGTATTCTAGATTTCATAAACTTCTTTGTTATTTCCAGGGCGAAGCAGGTTTTCCAGGTCGTCAGGGTTTACCTGGACTGAGAGGAGAAAAAGGAGACCAGGTGAGTGACTTTGAGGAACAGCTTCATCTTTTTTTGGGCCGTTTAGCAACAGGATGACTTATCTTGAGTGTCCCTAGATGAGATTCTCTCTTGGTGAGATTACTGTGGTGAGCAGCTGATTGGCATCCAGCAAGGTCAACAAGCACCCCTTCCAAAAAGGTATTTCCAGCCTAGTGACTGTTCCTACTTGCAGCAGAGGTGCTAATAAACAGTGTTTATCCTAAATGTAGAAGGTTATGCCTGATGCCATGCTGACTGTTAGGCAGTAGAAGAGGTACATTGTTCTTTAGGACTCCCTTCCAGAAATATCTGCCCTATTTAAGAACAGTAATGATTTTTGATAATAACAAAAAATTACAATTCCCTTTGTCACTGAGCCTTGGAGAAAGCTGCAGATGGCTTGATTATTTTCTGATGGTCTAACTTCCACCAACATCTTGGTGTCTACTGATTCCTCTGGCTAGTTCCAGACCTCTGGAGTCATCTACATACCAGGAAATATTTGTATCAGGGGCCTGACAGTAAATTTAGCTATGTAAATGAGGTCTGCACTCCTGAGAGCTGACCACATGCTTGAACGTGATCAAGAAGGATCAAAAATCAGCTGGGGTCTTTTCATTTAGTTTGCTCCATTATATGCATTGTAGAACATAGGATATAGAATGTATTCCTTTGGAAGTGTTCAAGGCCAGATTGGATGGCGTTCAGAGCAACCTGGTCTAGTGGAAGGTGCCCATGGAAGGGGTTGAAATTACGTAATCTTTGAGGTCCCTTACAAGCCAAACCATTCTATGATTCATTCTACATACAATACTATAGAAATGTAGGTCAGATAGCTCCAGTTTGAATGCAGGATAAATGCTCTTTGGGTATGCACTTTGAGGAGTATCACATCATCCTTGTTAAGCAGCTCACGTTCAGAAGGCCAGGTTACATGGGCAAAATAGTAATGTGAATAAATAAAATAGTATTTTGAGTCAACTCCTATTCTGCTTCCTTTCTTGTCCAACTGGAAAAAAGTCTTTTTTTTTTTTTTAAACTGCATTAGGCAGTAGGATCTTCTACAAGTAAGTTATTTTAGGCTTGGTGCTTTCCTTTCCATGAACTCAGTTGATATTCATTGGTTTTGAAAATAATGTGGTTTTATGAAGCCACTTTCAAAATTTCACATTTTTAATTGCTTGCTCTACCTCTTGAAAGACAGGTAAGATAATTGAAAGTGTAAGATATCTTGGTGGGGCTGATGCAATCAAATCAAAATATGCATATTTCCTGCTTTCATTTCCCTGCTTTTAGGGAGAAAAAGGAAGAGATGGTTTCCCTGGAATGAAAGGTGAAAGGGGAGAAAAGGTAAGTCATTAAATGACCATGATATTCCTTAGATAAGAAGGAAAAGAGACGACAGGGTAGAGACAAGCGATAGAGGAGAGTATCTGAGGAGGATCAGAAGACTTTTAACTGAGCTTTACAGAGAAGCAGAAAAAATAGCTCTCATTTATTGAGCAATGCAAGCTGATGAAATTAAGGACAAATTCTTTAACCCAAGGAAACTTTATTTTATAATTGGATCATATACATGAGCCTGGAAACAAAGTCTAAAGAAGTTTTCTGTGCCTGCCTGAAGTGTGATAGAACAATAATTTAAGGAACAGTCTGGGCTTCTGCCATCAAAAGTACGTTAATTTTAGTGAAAATGAGAGAACTAGACAAAAGTAATGTCCACCAAAATTTACATTCAAACCCTGTGGCCATGGAGGTGAAGAGGAAGCACTGACCTTGCAGATGCTTGTGGATGTATGGCAAAAAAATTGCCCTCATCATAGCGGCAATAGCATTTAAGATGTGGGTACCACTTCCTTCTTCTTCCTAGGATACATCAGTCCTCAGTTTATCAGTGACTTTCACCATCTGTGGCGGTGGCAATTCTTTCATGGGTGGTCAGGTGACAACAGTGAAGCCCCTGAATCTCCTGTATCTGGGAGGTTGACTAGTATTGTTTGTAGTTCTTGGCTTTGAAGTGTCAGGGGACTGATGTTTGTGGAGCACAGCCCACAGAAAGGTCAATGCCAGCTGCCAAACTCAGACTATAATGCTTGTGAGATACTCTGGCAACAGTATAGTTTTGACTCAAAAATTAAGGGAACAACTGGGTTTAGAAACTTAAATGTTTGATGAAAAATAGGATTTTTATTTTCCATCAATGAAAGAAGTTCAGCTAAAAGGTAGTTTTTAATCAAGATTTTTGATCAAATTTAATTTAAAAAGAAAATTAAGCTCCATATCCTACACTGGGTGGGGTAAGTTTAGAAATGAACTGTGAAGTCAGGTCAATGATAAAATCATAAAGTGATAAGGTCAACAAAGTGAGAATTCTGCGTGCAGCAAAACAAGGACAGCAGAATTTCTGACCAGAACACTGGGGTACATTCCACCCATCAGAGAAGTGCATTGGGATTTTCAGTGTCACTGAGCTGGTGGGTTGGGTCACATCTCATCTGGCAATGCTGCGTCTTCTAACAAGTAATGTTGAGTTTTATTCGGGCACCTTTTTATATCATTAGTTATGTTTTTCTCCTCTCTCCAGGGTGACACGGGCTCCCCTGGACCACCAGGCTTACCTGGAACAGTAAGTGAGATTGTGTTCAGTACCGTAACAATATTCAAGGCATCATCACATTTCCTCTGCACAAATTCCTCAGAAACAAATATGTTCAAGTTCCTTACTTCTCTGCAGGAACTTTAGGACCTGTTTGCTCTGAGATTGTCTCCCTTTACAATATCAGGATGCATTTGGTCTTCTTATTTTGGGGGAAGGTTGTGCCTTCTTTTACCTCTTTGCAGATAGCGAATTTTTTATAACCTTGCCTTGTGATAGCACTTAAATTGATTTGTTTAGGAGCTGTGGGAGCTGTCTGAAGAAAATCACAGCTGAAAACAGGGAGTACATTCCTGCAGATTTTCCAGGGTGAGCTAGATTTTTTCACACTTGGATCTCAGGATAAGACTGGTTCACTTAGTGAACCAGTGAACAACAGCTTGTCTTCCTGGGGAATAATTCATCATTTTCCAGGAAGAGCAAAGGGTTTCACTTCTCACTGACATGAACTTTTGGGGTGGACCATTGAGCTCCAGAGATGATGCAGCCACTCAGAACTTCCATGGCATATGATGCCATGCTGTGCTGTAATTCCAGAAGGATTCTCTCAGCCCAGATTATTCTGGGTTCAACACTGGATCCAACACAGCAACCAGTTTGACCTGGCTGCCCATACACTTTCTGCTAATAAAAAAAAACCCAACAAAACAAAACAAAAAAACCAACCCAATCAAAAACCAGGCCTTGAAGACACAAATTTATTGTTTTAAATATGAGCCTGAAAAATTACTTTTGGGAGCCTGAGTATAATTACAGTGATGTTCACTGGTGATTGAACCAGCAACCACTGAATGTAAATACACAAACCTCACAGTTCCCTCCAGCAAAATCGGAGTAAGCACCTTGTAATAAGCACTATCATTGCAACCAGAGGACTGATCCCAGTCACACATCCACCAAAAAATGGCAGATATCTGCTCATCATCTCTGCTTACCACAGCTGGATACAGCTGCCACAGATTATGGAGAAAGTTTGAATCAAGGTCTGTTGGTGAAAATCAAGTGCCTTGAGACCTTCAAGCAGCAATGGAGGAGGTGTTAGAATTTATTCCCTGACATTGGTTGGGCCTCTTCTGTCTGTGCCAAAGTATGCTTCATGTAAGAAAACTCCATGTGTATCACACAAGAATGACTCAATCACAACATCAAGGATAAGTCTGTCTTAGTAAAGGTGGAGAAGGCAATTCATAAACATGGTACAGCATGGCTAGACACAGAGAAGGCATGCCTGACTGCTCAAGTTCCTGTGTTTGTACAGAGAAATAATTTTTATTTCAGCTGTTAAAAGCACATGATGATTTTCACATATCTTCAGTTCTTCAAAGACTATTTTTTCTTCCTAATCTTATCAGCTTTTAAAAAAGATACTCTTTGTACAAAACTTTATCATTATTTTGTTGCTAGTCCTTCAGAATGACTATGTATTCCCTAAGAAAATGATGTTGAGATGTTATGTACATGGTACAAAGCAGAGAGAGAACACACCAAGGTCAACCTTGGTGTCAGGAAATTTAATAATATAGAAGATGGGTCCAAGTGGAAAAGTGAGCTGGAGATTACTAACAGTAAACTTGATAAAAAGGTTAAAGTTTTCTTTTGTTTCATAGCAGTGGGACCTACAGGATGTTTCTGAATTTATGCTCATATTTCAAATACTCTAGAAAATGTCTGATATTTGTGGGCTTGTTTCCAAACAGCCAGATGTTACAATGAGTTGCTCATTTATAAGCCTACTGGTGGATGTATGGAATGTGTAATCTGTAATGACAAGGAGAATACAAGCTATTGGATTTCAAGAAAATAGGCAATCCTTAACACTCTGGTTTCTGTTCCAGACAGCCTTCTTCACCCCACACCCCAGGATTCCTGTAAGTAACATCTCTAATAAACATGGCCTTTGGTTATCACCTCTTGTATTTGATAGACACACAGCACCTTAGTGTTTTCTGAGTTATTTAAATGTTTTCAGCAAAGAACTCAGCTTGTGTCTGGTTCTGGGCATCTTCACCATTGTAACCAGCCATGATGAGAAGTCCAAAGCTGTTCTGGTAAGAGCAGCATTTAAACGAGCAGTGCCTGGAACACAGCTGTATGTTATCCCAGCCTCTTAAACCAAGCTTAAAATGAAGTTTCATTTCCTACTTGCAGCACATGATCTTTAAAGTCCCTTCCTATCCAAACCATTCTATGATTCTACAAAGTGATGATTCCTCTACACATGTCTGTGGCTGTTAGATTATGCATTACTGTGCAGGTCACATATCAAGGACAAAGTGGAAGAAAGAAGAATATTAAAAAAACTTCCTCACTTTATCTGTTGAATTACTTATTCCCTTTGCAGTCTTGTTTTCCTGGTAATATGTGCCTTATTCCAACTCAGTAACACCATCCCTGCCTACAGTTGTACTGACTGTGCTTTGTTGTTCTGCTGTCTCAAAAGTTTTGGGACTTGAAAGGTCATTATACAAAGCAGCTTCCAGGCACAACCATACAGATTTTCAGCTTTGGACCCTTTGCTTGAGCCACTTCAGGTGGACCTGTTATCTTTCTGAAGGACACTAGATGGCATCAGGGACTGCCTGGTTGAAAGTTCTTCTAACTGGATGCTACTTGTAGAGTAAAATTCCTCCCATTATTTATCACAGATGATAATATTTATTCATAAGGCATAATAAATACAAGCATAAGTAATATTTATGCAGATACATTTATTTTGTCTGTTAGAGAATCATTTGAAAATGGACTTTCAATTCCCAGGTGTTGTAGAAATGATTGGCAAATAGCTGATGTGAATAAAATTCAAGCTGATTTGTCTGGCTCTGCATTTGACTGATCACTATTCCTTGCATGTGTATGTAGCTAAAATCACTGATGTTCCTAGTCTTCCTTGATTGCATAATTGAAATACTTTTTATGATAAATAATGAATAAGTAATGATTGCTGTTGCCTGAATACATATGTTCATATCAATACATAAATATGAGTATTCATGTAGTGCCTGGTTTATTCCAGCTAGTTCCAGAATTGTGTGCTTTCCGTTTCAATTTACAAAAAGCAGAAATATGGATTTATTGATTATTGTACTAGAGCTCAGCACAAAGCTTAGGAACCTCTCCCTGAAAGCATCTTCAGTTTGCTGTAAGAAGGAAGAAGAGGAATAAATTAATCCTATTAGCCAGTGATGGTGGTGCATGAAATAATGTACTGACATTGCAGGAGGGAGTGGAAGCTGCATGAATGTATGGAGATGTTACTAGAACAGATATCAGGAATAGCTGCATAGTGCACACCTCTGGAAATGCTTAAGATGAGACCCTGAACACCCCTCTCTTATAACTGGGATAGGGAACTGTCTGTATGTGAGATCATTCCCCCAGCTGTAGGATATGTTTTCTATGAGGGAAAAATTTTCTGCTTTTAAACTAAACATTTTTTTCAATTGTTATCATAACAGAACAAGAAGTCTAGACAGGAATCTCCAAGTCTTAGAGTAGCTTCTGTGAAGGACTTTTAGGTCTGATGAATCAAAACTGATATCCCACTCTATGATAAATGGATAAGTGATTGAAAGAGGCCTCTTACCAAACAGGACTAGTATGATTTCCAGGCATGAAAACAGCCTTTCTTTCTCTCTTTTTCTTGTTGTTTTATATCAGGGTGAACCTGGACCAAAAGGGGAGAAAGGAGATCGAGGAACCAGTGGAGAACCTGTAAGTACAGCCAAGGGTTTCTTCAGTTGATTTTGAACTTTAGCAGTGAGAGCACATGAGAGATGCCTCTTTTGGAGGGAGAGGGGGGGACATGCTTATTCTATATTGGGATGCCTCTCTCATCAGAAATAGCCCCAGTGGTTCTTGTCTTTGTACTGTGGTGTGGCCCAGCTAAATTGTGCATTTGGCTACTGCATTTTTGTTCTGGACTGCTCTCGTTCTGGAGTCCCCAGAAGAGACAGAGTTCTGCACAGTCACTTCTGTAAAAAGCACTCTTTCCTCTCTCAGTGGGAGGAGGGAGAATCATCTCCTTCTGCTCATGAGAAGAAACGAGCAGTTTCCTTCAGCTCCTTCACCTCTCCCTCTGTTTTTGCAGGGATTACCTGGGGTCCCAGGAAAACAAGGTGCCCCAGGACCTGCAGGAGTCCAGGTAAGAGGGCCCAGCCTTGAAGAAAGGCTTGACACGACCAGAGAAGAGTGCCCTCAAGGTCTATATCACTGTAAACAATTCTTCCCCTATGCACTTGCAGCCCATTTCTTCTTTGTAATTGTTAAAAGTTCAGGGACTTTTTTAGAGGTATTTACTCAGACCAGGCATCAGGAGGAAAATCAGCTCAGGAATATGGTACTTCTGTAGCATGATTGGTATTGTCTGAGAGACTCCTTCCAACTTCATGATCCTTCAAGAGGGCACCTTGTACTGATACCACAGGTCTCACAGATAAGTCGCTGCAGTACATCATCAAAACATTGCAGAGCAGTTAGATTCAAGCCCAGTCCATTTGACCTTGAGTGCACTATGGCTCATGTGAAATGGTTGTATAGTCTTAATCATCTTCTGAATCTTTCAGGCTCACACATGTTATTTCCAGGCATCACTGAGGTGTTTTCATGTTAACATGGAGAGGTGTTCACTCTGCCTTCATATGTGCTGTGCCCCAGCCATATCATCAGCAATGTTTGGGCATCAACAGCTTAAACAGGTTAACAGCAGTCTTAGCATTCTGAAGAAAAAAACTAAACAAACAAAACTATAATACCAGGTAACTTTTAACGAACAGCTGCTGAATGGGAGGACATTTCAGTGAGTAGAATTTGTCCTGCCAAAATTCTTCAGAAAGGGCCCTGTGATAGGTAGGACTAGGACAAACCTCTGCACAGGGATCTATTTTGACCATTTCTAAATTACTGATGTTTATTTTTGAGAACTGCAGGCAAATCTTCCTCTGTGAAGGGAGATGATTAGAGTTCAGCTGTAAATGAAATAGCTGGTAGCCCTGTGGATAGGAAGGAATTTCACCCTGTTAAGTGCCTGCAAGTTTCAGCATCCTGTGCTGAGAATCAGCCTCTGAGTTGATCAGCCATTAGTAATTCTTCTTAAGTCTCAGGGTTTTATTTTTATATTTTCTTTTCTTGCTGCACAGAAATCCGGGAGCTATTTCCTCAGCAGTTAACTTCTCTGTGAGTTGGTTAACAAAAACCATTGCCTAGTGCACATTTGGGTATCATGAAGTCTTTTTGTCTGGCAGGCAGTCCCCTCCCATGTCTAATCAGCTGGTATCTCTCTCTTTTTGCACAGGGTGCAAAGGGGGAAAAAGGAGCCCGAGGAGAAGCTGGAGCCCCCGGAGAGACTGTGAGTAATTGCTTCCCTTGCAGCATTTTTCCCTGGCAGTAACACTCCTGAAGGGACACTGAAGTCAATGCCTTCCAGCTTTGGAGTCCAGGCTGCTTGGACACAAGGCACATCCTAATCCACAGCTGGAAGAGTCACTGCTTGTGGGCAAACAGGCCCATCTGCACCAAACAAATCAATGCCTCAGTCAGCCCAGCTTGAAACTGTGCATCTCTTACTGGTGAAATCTCCCCCTGTCTAACAGAACGAGGTGCTGGTGGAGCTGGTGACTGCACTGAGATATCAGCCCAGCCCAGGCAAGCAGCTGGAGCAGGAAGATGCTCATCAGCAGCCTGAATTGCTTTTTGATCACAGTTGCTTTCAGGCTTCCTCGTCAATTCTGATTTTTTTAATACCAGCTCATCCAGAGGACTCATCCCACAGCCCTTTTTGAGACGTGTTGTAGGGAGCACTGCTGTTGCCTGGCTGTGTGCTAAGGAATAGTAAAGGATTTCAGTCCCTTTTAATTATTGTGAGAGCACATAAGACCTTTGTGGCTGAATAAGAGGCTGCAGACTTTCTTCGCAAGCAGAGAAGGAAGAAAGCCTGAAGAACTTTTTGAAATAACGATTGAGATAGAGGATGCTTGTGATTGAGAGGAGGGAATAGGACTTTGAAATTATGCATCTTAGAACACTGAAATTTCTTTCTCCACCTTTGTGTTCATGGTTTTCCTTCCTGGGCTGGTGCTCAGACATTAGAGCATGGTGTGAATAACACCAAGGTCATAGGTTTGATCCCTGTATGGGCCATTCACTTAGGAGTTGGGATTGATGATTCTTTTGGGTCTCTTCCAACACAGAATATGCTGTGATATTGTCCCTGAGCAGTACTTCAACCCTAAACCCTGAACTGCCTATTTCCAGCTCTCTTTCACTCTTGGTTGAAGAACCACTTAGTACTACTGGGGAGGAATATAAAACAAAAAAGGGCAAAAAACATACCTTCCACCAAACCTACCCATTGATCTTACTTCTTTGTATACCCTCCTGACAAGGAGGATGTTAATGATATGGAAATGCAGGTATATGCAGGCACCTTCTTTTTTTGCCATCCTTTCACAGACTACCCCTGCTCCAAGTATTTCTACTGACTCATAGACCAAAACCTGTAAATAACACAGAAATGAGGAAACCTTTAAACCTCTGCTATGAGGAAAGGCTGAGAGAATTGGGATTGTTCAGTCTGGGGAGGAGAAGGCTCTGGGGAGACATTAGAACCCCTTCCATCACCTAAAGAGGAACTGCAAGAGTCTGGAGAGGGACTTGTGACAAGGGCATGGAGTGATAGGACAAGGGGGAATGACTTTAAGATGAGAGTAGGTTTAGATTAGGTACTAGGAAGAGATTCTTCGCTATGAGAGTAGTGAGGCCCTGGCACAGGTTGCTCAGGGAAGTTGTGGATGCCCCATTCCTGGAAGTGCTGAAGACCAGGCTGTGTGAGACTTTGATCAACCTGGTCTAGTGGAAGGTGTCCTGCCCCTGGCAGGGGGTTGAAACAAAATAATGTTTAAGGTCCCTTTTAACCCAAATCTCTGATTTTATGAAATATCTGAATATAGCCCGGTAATCCCAAACATCATCTCTATGGAGACATAAATCACCAAATATATGTTCTCTAATGTTCCCTATGAATTTTTAGGGACACACATGGGTTTTCTCACCCTACAAAGCTTTCACCTGCAAATGGAAAAGACCCATAATTCAGAACTATACATTCTCAATGATTTGGGATGTTCATCTACTTAGTGCAAATGAGTGTTTTCAGGTTTTGTTGCCCAGAGCAAGGTGAAATTGTCAGCAAAGAATATTTTGTTGACCTGGATTTTTTTAATGATAAATCAACATAGTTTCCTCTGTTCTTTTGATGTTTCTGGCCCAGACTTTTCTTCCTGCATCTCACCTAGATTTAGGATTTATTTTGGTGGAAGGTAGCTTTAAGCTCCCAAAGACAGCCTTCATCCATTTTGTATTGTTTCTTTCTTCTTTACACTAAAAAGTTTCTCACAAAGATGCTATTTTTTGCTTTCTGCTTGTACAACACCTTGTCTGACATGAAATCCAGTCTCTCTTGGAACATCTTGTTCCTATGGTGATACAAGTTGTGACTTACATATGTACACACACACTCCATTTTCTCAAAACAGGGTGTGAGTGGACCAGCAGGGCCCCCAGGCCCAAGAGGCTTGCCAGGAAATGTGGTATGTATGCACCAGTGTATTTGTTTTCCCATCTGTGTCCTGATTTCTTTATTTAATGTGTTTAGTTTTCCCTTCCATGGGGATTACGATCAGGTCAAAAGACTATGTTTCATTACACTAGTTTCTTATGGTTGAATGTTCATGGTGTATCCATGAAGCATCTCATTTCATTTTTAGCAAGAGGGAGGCATGGAGCTGCTTCATTTCTCACCAAAATGTCAAAAGCGATTTTTGCTGCCAGCTCTTCAAGAGAAAAATTTCAATGGTTATTGTCTCTCTGGTTTTGTTCTCTTTGCCTTGTTTTCATTTGTCCTTTCCTATTGTAAACATGACTTCTTGATACAAAAATAGCATGGTAAACTCCCCTTTTTGTTATGAAAGCATGAAGGCATTTGTTCCTACAATTGGAGCCTTGAAATCAGTGGTGTCCCCCTTACCTCGGTAGATGTTCATCACTGTTATGAAGTCATGCATGATAAAACTTTTCATGTAGGCAAAATCTTTGGACTAACTCTAATCCCAGCTCAACTAGTGTAACTTTCTTTCTAGTTCCTGAAGTTCTCTGGATTTAGCCTGGAGTAGATGAAAAACACCATTTAGACCTCAAAATATATATATATTATATATATATAATAATATATGTGCTTGATAAGTTCTCTATCAACCTGCACCCCAGGAAGTCTTCCATCATCCCCATATCACCATTGGCCAATCAGAGCTCAAATCAGTTCAGCAGTTTAATTACCTAGGTAGTCTCATCTCATCTCTTACCATCTCAATGGTAAGATTGACAGAGAGATAGACAACAGGTTAGCAAAGGCATATAGTGCCTTCAGAAACCTTCATAAAAGAGTTTGGCGAAATAAACACTTGAAGAAAAGTACAAAGGTCAGTGTTTACAGAGCCATAGTGCTGTCTACTCTCTTATATGGATCTGAATCATGGGTCATCTACTGCCACCACCTATGTCTCCTAGAGCGCTTCCATCAACGCTGCCTCCGTTCAATCTTAAACATCCACTGGTCAGATTACGTGACCAATACATCCGTTCTAGAACAAGCAGCAGTCACAAGCATTGAGGCCATGTTGCTGAGAACACAGCTGTGCTGGGCAGGGCACGTCTCCAGGATGAAGGACCACCGCCTCCCTAAGATCCTGCTCTATGGTGAACTTGCCACCGGCTGCTGCAAGAGAGGAGCCCTAAAGAGAAGATACAAGGACTCCTTGAAACAACATCTCAGCCTTGGCCATATTGATCGCTATAACTGGTCTACTCTGGCCTCCAATCAGGAGGTCTGGAGACACACCATCTATAACGCTGCTGATGCCTTTGAGAACGCACTCAGGATCACTCTTGAGGAGAAAAGACAACGCAGAAAAAATTGTGCCTTGCACAATTTTAGACTCCACCTAAGGAGTCTTTCTGCTGTGCCTTTTGCAACCGGACATACCTGTCTCGTATTGGCCTTTTTAACCATCAGCGCGCTTGTAGCAAACGTGGGTAGAGCCCTTCCCAAATCTTTGTTTGCGAAGCCTGGCCACGATGATGAATACATGTGCTCGATATAATGTATTCGAGCATAGTGGTTTAGCACAGAGGACTCTTTGAGCCAGAGTTTATTACCTGAGCAATTCAAGACAACCTAAATTGCCTTTCTACTAATTGTTAAGATACATTTGATTTAATCGTATCAATTTAATGATTTAATTTCAAATTGAAAAGCGATGTTGAAAATAAGGACCTTTTTCAATTTCATATTCCGTTAAGCAAACTTCTATACCAATAATACCAATATATGACCTATAAAAGCTAATATAGTCAGAAACTATTTTTAGTGGTGCAGAAAGGAAAATAATTATCACATCCATTCTGAGGTCAATCCAATCTTAATGGTGCCAAGACATGATTTCACATCTTAAAATGGAGTACACTCCAAAATGTGTTTTGGTGAGTTAGGAAGTTACAGTATCTAATTTAGAGCTCTAAATCATCTATATTTTGACGTGGAATCCTTTGAGAACTGCCAAGATGTGAAAAGGATCAAAAACTGAAATAGAGGATAAAATGAACATAGCTATGTTTCCCAATATTTGGCTTTGGAGAGCAGTAGCCATAAAAAAAATTAATACTGGGAGGATTTTGGCTTCTCTGATGACTGGGGGGTTGTTCGTAATGGATCAGAAACTGCTGAGGGTTTCACAAAATGAAATAGAAAGTTAGTAGTAGAAACAGAATGCACAAATCTAGGATTAGGTCTATTTCTGCTTTTGCTGTTCAGCTCCCCTTTGTATTGAGAAAAAATCCTCCTTTAAGGACCTGGCACACAGCTCTTCTGTGGTGTTCTCTGGATTACAGGTTGTCTGTACTGGGAAATGTAGAGCTGATACTAATCCTTGAGATAGAATGTACTGAACACGCAGGTCTGCCCCTTTGCTTTAGGATCAAATACTGCCTACAAAGAAACTTTTAAGCTTTAAAGTTCTTTTCTCTCCAGGGTGTTCCTGGAGGCCCTGGACTGCCAGGGAAGGCAGGAGAAAAAGGGGAAAGGGTGAGTTTGTTCTTTGATGGATTTGATTCTCTTTTTCTTGGGCATTTTAAGTAACTGGGACAGAGGCAGTCTGAACTGGGAAATTATTTCATAGGTTCATGTACGGTTAAGACACATGGGCTCATTAGATCATCTTGTCTGAACTCCTCTATTACATGTGCTATAAGGTTTTCACCTTGTTGCAGCTTTATAATTTACCTAATAAACCACCGAGATACGACTGGATAGAGTGAAGCCACCGCTACACATTTTGAAATGATGACCTTCTGCTGTCCTCATTGCCTGACAAGAGCTGGCATTTGGTGTTTTAAGAAACTCCTATTCATCACTGTGAATCCAAAGCTGGAAAGAAAAGTGTCTTTTATGATTAGAAAACAGATTTCTGCTTACCTGATAAGCTGTTATAACTGTACCATTAGTTCAGCTTTCCAGTGCAGTCTTGCTTACACTTTGCCTGCTTTGCCTCAGTCTTATGTCCCATCTCATGGGCTTTCTGAGGTCAGGGGTTGGTGATTTGGTCATGCACTGCACCCTGCCCAGAATGCCGGAGTAGGAATGATTAATTGGAAACATGGCCCCATATATGCATATATTTGGGGCTTAAAAGGGAATGAATCCCAGCCCCTTCTGTCAAATCTTCTTCCACCTCAGGGTCAGGCAGGGACCAAGGGTGCTCTCATACAGCATTGTGGATAGAGTGAGAAAGAAGCAACAATATATTTTATTGATATAAGACATTGAGTTAACAAAGTTCAATGGTAAATGCCACATTGATTTAACAAGATTCAATGCAAGTACTCTTGATTATTTACTGCATAAAGGACAGAGTCAGACAGAACTGTCAGGGAGACCCTTCCATTGAGTCATGAGGTTCAGGAAGGATCCCCTTGTGTTCTAAACTCCTCAGAGGGGAATTTAGGTGTGGCTGGATCCAGACTTAGTCATAAACTTGGTCAACTTTTTATGTAAAGGATTATATGTGTGCAGCCAATTCTTTATATCATTTATCTAAGGTTTCAAAGTTTCAACATGCTTATTCCCAATTCACTTACTGAGTGTCTGGTGTGCTAACATGGCAATTCGAGGTCTGTTTGAAGTTCGAAGTCTCCTTTTTCTTTCCTTAAGGGAAATTAAAAGTGCCTTGAGATTACTGAAGGTAAACACTTTCTATAAAAGAGTGTTTCCTATGATACCAAAAGGAAACCATAAGAGAAAGCTAGAAAAAAGACATATCTTTCAGCCCCAGTGAAAGACCTGAGACAGGAATGGTCTTTATTAGTCTACTAAGAGTTCTGATGGATTGTCTTCTACAGGGTGATCCTGGAAAAGAAGGAAAAGTGGGCTTTCCTGGGCCACCTGGTGTGCCAGGGCCTGCTGGAGAGCCAGGTTTGCCTGGGAAGGGTAAAGATGGAGCACCGGTAAGTCTAGCTGGCAAGCTTTGTGCTTGAATAGTTCAACATGAGACAGAAAGGCAAGACTTCTGCAGGAGAACAGTGGATTTACCAGAATCCATGAAAGGCCTGGCTGTGCAAAATGCCCCAGATCATAGCACTGCATCTAAAATGGCAGAGAGAACTAAAGCTGTATTTCTGAACACTGAGCCCCTTTTGATGTGCTGTGGTGGCCCCTGAAAATGGAGACCTCCTCGAGGAGTAGCCATTGACCTTGTGACCAGTAAAAAAATTATTAGCTTGGTGGAAGGTCCCTAAAAGCATTTAATTCTATCCAAGTTAGCAGATGATTTAATTTGCTTACATGTTGTCAGTAAGATACTGCCAGGATGGGGTTTAGGTTGGGGTGGGGGCTGGTGGTGGTACTTGCTGCAGGGACTATATCAAAGTCCAGGTTCCTGTTTGGCTGGATGGTGACTGTTTTCTTGCTTTACCTCCACCACTTTAGGGGGAAAGAGGACCACCAGGCTTGCCAGGACCCTTTGGACATAAGGTGATCATGTGCAGTGCTACTCTCAGTCATTTGAACTGGAAAAAAATTATGGTGAAAAAATGGTCTTTTTTCCCCTGGAAAATTGAGTTTGTGAAGCTTTCACTCAAAAACGCAGTCCTAGACTTTTAGGAGCTCCCTTTCTCTATTATTCCAGTATGTCTGTTGATGTAGATACTAAGATATAAATTGACTGTGCACACTTTGCACATTTAAAATTTCCTTCAGCATGATGTGAATTCAACACAGACTAAGGGCTAAATGCACATTTTTTTCAGGGAAACTGTAATTGGACCCTTTAATCCATACTGCTAGAGAGACATTGCATGGCTCAAGGATGATCTACTCTTGAGACTACTTGTCAGCCCCTCAAAGAGCAATTCTTCCATAGCACTCCTTCCCTTCACCTCTCCAGGGAGGTGTGAATTATTTTCCAGTGGGACCAGACAGTCTTGGTTTGCCCTCATATATCATAGTTAAGGCAAAAACTAACTAGTTGATGAGGTTAATGACAGTAATTTCTTCTGCTGAAAGTATTGCGTATTCCCTTACAAGTGCACAGGAAATAGAGAAAGGAACAAACCAGCAAAACCCTTTGCTTCTGGAAGCATCTGGATTGTGCTTGAATCTCCAATAAAACACATCAGAAATTCCCCTCTTTGAATTGACCATGCCCTGATCTGGATTGGATGAAGAATAGGATGTTCAAAGAGATTCTGCAAATGTTATAAGGAAGATTACAGCATTATGAGACTCAATCCAACTAGGTTTCACACTTTTGAAATAACCAAACTGCTATGAATATTTCTTTCTATTTTGCTGCGTTTTGTATAAATGCATTATAGCCTATTGTATATATCTTTGACAGTTCAGACCACACACTACACCCACAAAGACACACACAAATAGACAGAGAATTAACATAAAAGTCAGAAAAAAACACTAAAAGCAATGTCATGGAATATTCTATTCAATATCCACAGAAGAAGGTAAGAATCTTAATTGTGCACAGAAAATACTATTGAACTTTTTGTATTGAAGTTATCTTCTTGAATAAAATAGCAGAGAAGGGATCTGCTGGAGTGTTTGAACTAATCAGAATATAATTTTTCTCACTGTCCTAGCAGTATTGTTTCTTGATGGAATAAGATTAGTTTAAGAAGAAAGAAAGGGAAAAAATAGGAGCTATTGTAGATGGAAATTTGGGTGGGCAGAATCCACAGGTAACAATTTTTGTATCATGATTCTTTCTATACAGCTAGAAATAATGTAATAATAAATGGCATAAATGAGATTCATTTTTACAAATTTACTAAAAATGTGAGATCACATCTTACACCTGCAATGCAATCCATAAAAGTCTTATTGATTTCTCCTTATAACTCGAAAACAGATGTTAAAGTATTGTAACTGAATTCTTTCTTAGCCCTCTGTCTGCAGTGTCCATTGAACAGAGTCAAGTTGTTTTCTGTGCTAATCAGGTTTTACTTCAAAAATCCTGTTTTCTAGAGGGGAGGACTCCCCTTTTGTAGTACAGTGCTCAAGAGAGAGTGGTAGAAGTGTGGAATTATTTTTCACCAGAAGAATTTCATACACTACTGTGAGTAGGTCTATGCTGGTAAAGGAAAGGAGTACATTAAGATGTAATAAAACACCCTTAACTCTGTCTTCCCCAGATAAGCAATCTGTATTTGGCAATTTTTGTGACTTAGCCATCTACCATAGAAACAGAGAGAGCCAAAAGTGTATTATAGTGCTTAGTGCTTCCCCAAGCCAAGGAGAGTTCCTGATACCCCGATGAAGTCACTGTCACTGGAAATATTCAGGAGGCATCTGGATGTGGTCTTGGGAATATAGTTTAGAGGTGATTAAGGTGGTCCTGGGTTCATGGTTGGACTAGATGGTCTTGAAGGTCTCTTCCAACCTTGATGATTCTGTGAAATGCTGGGAATTGGATACTGTGCAATAAAATAAATGAAAAATAGTTACAGAGGTTGTGTTCCCACTCACATATGACGTGGCACACTCTGATGTTGTGTGAGTGCTATCAGAGATGGGCTGGGGCTCCTGTGATAGAAGAGGACAGTTTTCTTGGCATGATGAGACATTAACTGTGCCATTTAAAACCTTTAAATTCTTCCTTTTTTTCAGGGTGAAAGGGGAGCTCCTGGCCTACCTGGACAGCCAGGAGACAGAGGTGTGCCAGGAATTGGCCTGGCTGGACCTCCTGTAAGTAGCAGATTCTGCTGCAACCTGTAACAAGGTGAAAAATTACCCATTGCCACCTAAGGAATGTGTAGCCTGTGCTCAACTGTGCCTGTGGGACATCTTACCTTTTAAAGGTGCAAATTTCAGACTAGTCCAGAGACTGCCATTCGTGGCTCAGATATCACACAACTGTTGTTGAGGGCTCCTAATGTATTTAGTTTTAGTTGAAACCAAGAGGTAGAAAAACTGCTATTGAAATTATTAGTATCACTGGCTGTCACTCCTGAATTTTCTGCATCATCCTGACACGCTGGCTGTGGATGTGAGTGGAGATCTGTGCTGAGCCAGCAGCTCTGGTGTACTGGACAGATGTAACCTTGCTGTTACCCTGTTTGGAGGGATGACTGTGACACACATGCCCACATCAGTGACGTAATGACACTCTGATAGCAAAATACAAAATCAGATTGCTTAAATTGCTATGTTCCAAAAGGGCCATCATTCCCATAATTTCCCACAAACATTTAGTTAGTTGGACCCCATCTGGCTCCGCCCTCATCTCCTGCATATTAGTAGGTCACAAGGTGTATCTGAGAGTCTGCTCTGGAAAATTCGAATTTTCCCATTTCTGGGGTTTGATCACTCCAGTACTTCTTATGCACAACTCCTCTTGAGATGAGGGAGATTTAGGAGTGTTGTGGCTGTAGCCCTGCCCAGTGACCTCCAGATTTGCACTGAATTTGCTACTGAAATATGTTCTGGAGAAAGCAAACTCTTTTTCTAGCTATAATTACTAGAAGACATCTGAAACCTTGCATTCTTTTATTCTTTTACAATACCTTGTACATGCCATGATCCTGTACCAATCAGTAAATGTTTGGCTATCAATGCTCTGTTTATCTAGATATAATTTTCCCAGTCAGTACAGGGAATTGCCTTGAAATGACAAGTCGTATTGCTTGGTAATACTGACACTTAATATTTGCTTTCACCATGTTGAATTCTATCTTAGTTAAAGCAGATTGGGTCAGTCATGTTTCACACTGTGACTGTGTCATGACCTTCATGGTCGTTATGGGGTTACCAATGACTGAAGATTAGCTGGGTGTCATTTGTTAAGATTTATCTAAACAGCAGTGGTGTTCCTGCATTTCTTAGTGTTCAGTTATTAATATTAAAACTAAAATTAAGTTAACAAATGAGTACCTGGCTTGTTGGAAAGTCACTAGCTTGTGGGTGGTTCTTAATCACAGATTTTTAGATTCAGTACAGGGTTAAATGAGTTCACCTCTGCATCCTGATGTACACAAGATGACAAAGTTATTCTTCATTGGGGCTTTAGCATCCTCGTATCCTGGAAAACAAATGACTAAGAACTTGACTACAAATGCAGAGATCACTTGTCTCACACCAGTAGATTGCTTTTTTTGTGTGTCATTGTTATTTGCCCACTGTCAGGATGTATAGCCACCTACACACCACACTCTCATATAAGTTTTATTTATTTAATCTGCCTCATTAAATACTTAAAAAACCCCCCACAAAAACGAATGATGACTATAATGTTTTTTTCCACTGATTTTTCCATCATAACCTTAGGTCCAGTGCACAGACTCTGGAATTTATAAAAACCACTGCATAACCCCGAATCTATCAGGCTGAATCCCACAGAAAAAAAAAATCAAACAAAAAAACAGAATAAAATCAGTGGAGCTGCTTCAGAGCATATTATACACTGAATTAAAAGTGTCAGTCTCTACTCTTTTAGCAATGTAACAAAATTGTGTTCATAATACTTCAGCTTCAGAGCTGCAAGCCAGCCACTCTTTTTAATTGAAAAACTCTCCCTATTTCCTACTGTGCCCTTTACCTCTCTCAGGCTTTGTTCCCTGCACAAAAAGTATATATAGCTGAGGATTTTTTTTTACCTTATCTGTTAAAGTATTGAGTTACAATTGACATAACACTGAGCCATAAACTCAAGCATTAGCAGAGTGTGTTCTTCCCAACAGAAGAGGGGACTGCTCGGAGAACTGGGGTGACTTCACATGTTTATGCTGAAGTTGCCCAATGGGTCTGTGTGCTGAATAAGTAGAAAGGTTTCCATCTTGCCCTGCTTTGCCCTGTTGATATTACCATGGGTTCAGAATTATGCATTCAGCTGTTGCTTGAGCGCAGCATTGAGGACTGTATGAGGATTAGTGAGTTACTGTGCCTGAAACAGTAAGAAAAAGGAGAGGAGTTATAGTGTGAGCCAGTTAATTCAAACACAGCCCCAAGGATGAGAGGATAAGCCTTGTTTTGTGTGTGTTTGGGATACCAGATCGATTCATCTGTGCTGGATACAGGTACTGCACCACTTCTGTGGTGTTCCTTCAGAAGTGAGTGCTTTCTAGTACCTCACTCTACTCAGCTGCTCCTTTTTAAGTTGCATCCCCAAACAGATAGAATATACAAGACCACTAGACTTCTTGCTTTGACATAAACTGAAGAGCTCAGAGGTCCTATGGGATGTCCCAGCCCAACAGATGTTGTGTTTCTGTGTGGTTCTGTGTCCCCAGAACCGGCCAGGGGCGAGGCTGAACATGGATTGTCAAAGGGCATATTCAGTGGACACACACACTCCTGTGCACAGACACGTAGACCAATGCAGAAAATAATCCCTTAATGCTTCAGGACCCTCCCTGATCAGACAAAGGGGGATGTTAATTTTAGGTGGTTTTATTGCTGTGTCTTTTCTGTTTGCAGGGCCCTGCAGGACCCCCAGGAGACAAAGGGTCACTGGTACAGTATGTCTTTCTAACTATACCCAAATTTTATGGGGAGGGGGGTAACCATAGTAAATGTGCTTCTACCAGTGATTTCATGAAGGCATATGTAATTAATTTGGTTTTGCCTGAGAGTTGGTCACAGAGTGGCTGACCCTCCAAAGGGGACTTGTTCATTACCAGGTCCTTGTCTCCTATATTGAGTTGTGAGAAAGAGTTGATTGAGAGTCTTGGCCTGGGGACAACTTTTCCTTATGTGTCAATAATCCTACAGGAGAAAGATTCAGTTACTTTTTCACCCTTCATTCAAAAAATTATATCAAGGCACATAATTCAGGACACACTACTATGCCTTATAGCCACAGCCTCAAAGCTTTTAAATAAACAGTTTTTAAGCATTTTTTCTCACTGAAATCTTACAGATTTTGGTATTCACCAAACACAATTAGTTTCTCAACATTCAGTTTTACAAGGATGCAATCCATTGTTGTGAAACAGATAACTGTACCATGTTCTCACAGACACTGGCATGAATTTCCAGCACAACAGCCAGTCCTAGCCAGTGCGATAGCTTGGCACTGAGGAGCTGGACCTTCTTTTCTCCTCTACCTTCCTGTGCTCACTCATATTTTCTCCCTGTTCAAAAACTTGCCTCCTATAAAGAGTCATTATTATCTTTCCAGTCGATGTATGTGAAATTTGGCTTCAGAGATGCTCATGAAGTCCCTTGAGGCACAGAAATGATGGATACTGGAATAGTGCATTGTGAGATTTAATTATAATTTTTCTTAAACTCTCTCATAGTTGTTTAACTGCTAGTTAATTTTACCTCAATAACTATTAGGCTGAGGATTTCTTTTCTTCAGCTAAGAGGCACTTCATAAATGCTGTTCACGTTATTGGGTTTGTCTGTTCTCTCCCTTCCAGGGTCCCCGTGGTGTTCCTGGTATCCCTGGACCACAGGGGCCTCCTGGGCAGGATGTAAGTAAAAAAGAAGTCTAAGTGCTCAATAAATTTGTCAATGCTTGAATCTAATATTCCTGAAAATTTATGCTTACAGTCAACTGCAGTCACTGGGTGTTACTAGGATGGTCTAAGGGAGATGACTGACAGAAGTGGAGCTCTTACAAGTTAGGATGTCAGATGGGAAAATAGTTGGGATAAGGATTGCCTCAAGGAAAGTGATGGACTTCACCACTGAACCATTTTAAAATGACACTGGAGAATGGCAGCATACACTGGGGAATGATTCTACACTGGAAAAAGATGGTTGTTAAGCTGTCTAGGAACTTCTTAGAAGTCTCTGAGATAAGTACCCCTGTAGTATTTCTATGAAAACAGGGCCACAGCTGTTGAAAAAAGTTCTTTATGAGTTCATTTCGCTGCTGCTATTGTTCACGTTGGATGGCATTTTAACCTCTTGGTACATTGTCCTCTCTCCTGCTGTCTCAGTGGATGAGTCATGGAACTGAGGAATAGAGAGAAAAGTGGCAGAGTCCCAACTGGAAAACTGTTCCCTCTCACTGCCTGATTCTCTTGCAGTGCTGAATCAGAAAGAGGAGCATTTTTTTCTCTGTGATGTGGAAACCAGTCCTCTGACGGAGGCTCTGAAGATTTTGAAAGCCTTGATCTTTGGATTTGTGCCTGTTGAGGGAACACTGTGGGGATGGGGCAGTGACCTTCTGTAACTCTCCTTTTCAGCACTGTTTCATGATGCTGATGTTTTATGTCTGAAATGGGTACCAGTTTCCACTAACTCCCCAACAAGCAATTTTCAGCTCTAGTGTGGCTTTACTGACATACATGAGGTGGCCTAAAAGTTTTCTTCCCACCTACTTGTTGCCCAGAGGGGTTGTGGATGCCCCCATTCCTGGAAGTTTTCAAGGCCCTGGGGCTCTGAGCAACCTGGTCTAGTGGAAGATGTCCCTGCCCATGGCAGGGAACTGGAATGAGATGATCTTTAAGGTCCCTTTCAACCCAAACCATTCTATGATTCTATAATTCTGTTATTCTGTACTTGGTCACCAGATGAATGATAATGTTGGGATATTCTTCCACAGCCCACGATAGTAGAAATGGTCCTTTGCCTCCATCACCCTGTGTCCCTGAGTAGCTTCAGATGTGGGATTGATTGTGTCCTGCTGACTGTCTGTAGATCTCCTCACCTTGCTTCAGATGGCTGAGATTTTTAATCAAGAGGTTTTAAACATGAGATATGATAGATGGGTTTATTACAACTGTGTTGTGTGAGGCAAGTGCCAGAGGCAGCTTTTCAGTGTCTCTGACTCTTCTCAGACAAGTGTTAACTGGTCAGCTCTTGGAGAGGCAGCACTGCAGTCTTTACAACTTTTTTTTTCCCCTGCAGAAGATTAAGTCAAACAGAACCATTCCTCGTGGTGCTTGTAAAACACATTCTCCACACTTACTGCACATTCCAGCATTTCTGGTGTTACAGCAGGGATAACCTATTTTGACAAGATCATGCATTCGCAGTTTCTTGATCTCCATTTTCATTTAACTAGTACAGAGCATTTTTTGTTCTGTATATGCCCTCTTGGATATCAATGAAGTGCTCCTGCATTCTCTGAAGCGTGCCCATTTTTGTACTCTGCTGTGTTCAAACAGTATGGCATCAGTTAGGAAAGCTCCAATTTGAATTGCTAATATGAATTTGCCATGCAACTCCCAAGCCATTCAGTGTCAATTGCCTTAATGACTTGCCTCAGAGTCTTGTATTTTGCTGTGGCCTTTGCAAATGTGTTCCATGTTTTTTTCTGAGGCAGAAAAAATCTTTTAAATCACATTTACATACATTAAATTATTCTTTTCATTGTTTTTTCCAGTTGCAAGCTCATCAGATGCTTGTGGAAGTGTCTGCCATAATCTGTTGTATTCTCTGACACTGCAAAACAGATTTACAATTGTATTTGGGAAGGTGAAAGAGTCAATACTTCTTTTGCAATAGTTTTGGCTTGAATTATCTCCCATAGGTGAATAAATTCGGGGTTTTTTACATGACTACCTTCTAACTTTTTTCTAGTGCCCTAAAAGCATGTGCCTTTTTTTTTTTTTTTCTGATAGCGCTGCTCAGGGTCACCTTTTGAAATATCTGTTGGCAACTCAATCAGATATCAAGAGTTCTCTGGACAGTGTCTTGTTTTATTAAAATTTAGGTTTTGAAAATGCTTGTCTAGGTGTGCAGTACAGTTGTGCTGGTTTGGCCTTGTTCTGTTCCTCTTTGCAAAAGGCTTGGTATTTATTTGTCCTGTGGAGTTCATTATGTCCATAAAACCCTACAAATTCTCTTATTCTGGAACAAAGCTGGGGGATATTGTCTTCTCCCATATAGATTATTTTCTTATCTTTAATTACCTTTTTTCTTTTTTCTGATCAACTAAAACTCTGATTATTAAAGCCCGAAAAGTGGAGTTTTTTAGGTCTTTGTTATTTCTGATGATACAACTAATTTGTTCTGTAACAGAACTACTGTATATTGTGCCTGCTTTAATGCCCTCAGTCACTTAAAAAAATTACATGCTTTTGAAAAAATATAATCCAAATCAGATTTTAATCTGCAGTATTAAAATAGTGTAGCCTTAAGTACCTTCTGTCAGAGAAACTGGCCAAACTCCTAGTCTGAGAATTATAAAAAAATATTTCTACATGTTAAATAATGTTATATGCATGGCTGTCTACTCCAGCTGCTGCAGATCAGGTCCCTCCTGACTGATAGGTAGATTTAAATTAGATATTAGGAAGAAATTCCTTACTGTGCATATAGTGAGGCACTGGCACAGGATGCCCAGAGAAGCTGTGGATGCCCCATCCCTGAAATTGTTCAAGACCTGGTTGGGTGGGGCTTTGAGCAACCTGGTCTAATACAAGGTATCCCTGGCCATGGGAGGAGAGTTGGATTATCTTTAAGCCCAACCATTCTATGATTCTATGAAAAGTTTATAGGAAGATATAAGACCATAGGACAAACCATGGTGATGAGGTGCAGAGCTCAGCCAATCAAATGCATCCACCAGAACTCTTTTATGTGTGACCAGCCCTCTGTTACACCCTTTTCTGTCTACCCCTGTCTGTTACTCTCTGCTGTCCATTCCCCTGCACAGCCCCTCATGCGTCTCCCCAGCTCTACCAATTCCTGCACCCCTCCCAGTTCAGGGTCATCTTTGTTTACAGTCTTATCACTTGCAAAGTCCAGACTGGTCTCCCTGGAAGTGCAGCCTGTGGTTTCCTGATAGCCCATCAATTGGTGTGTGACAAGATTTGTTTCTTGTTTTGTCTGTGTCTTGGCATATTTAGTTTCTGATTTCCTCCTTTTCCCTTAATTTCCCAATTGACAAGGTCCTGGATCAGATAATCTTGCTGGAATAAGCCTCCTCACACTTCCACATGCATTCATCGATTAGTGTGACTTTCCAGACTTGGTTCCCATCACTGCCATCCTTATTTGTTGGTCAGGTTTTTGTCCTTGATGTTCTAATTTATGTCTTTTTCCTTATTTTCCCTTGTTGCATTGAAAAAAGGTCTTTGACCTGATACTCCCAAAGGAGCAGACACTCTCTGGCCAAATACCCTTACACTGCATGTTTTGGGAATCATCCTCTGACTGTCTGCTGAGAGATAAAATGTTTCTGTTCAACATAACTACTTAGTGCTCTTAAATTAGGAAATAATCTGAATGAGACATTCTCTTATCCTACTATTAGCAGTGAGGGCACCTGTTTAATAGGCCCTTTCTGTACTTTGATTATGATAATTTTAATTAACATAAACATTTAATTAATCAATATTTAATTAGTTTAATTATTCATGGTAACTAAGTTCCAGCATTACTGGGAAGTTAATCTTCCCCTGAGTTTACTTTCATAATTACAAAACCTTTGTGGATGCATATATTACTGTCATTGGATTTGAAAAGCAGGGTTTTCTTTTCTGAGGTTGATTTTCCTCTGCACTTAGAGGGACAGTTACAAGGAGCTTTTCTCAGTATTTTTAGGGTAGTTACACCCCAAACCAGAATACACTTATTGAACCTCCTCTTGTCTCTTTATTGCTGTAACTTATAACCTATTTAAATTATTGCATTTCGAGTTTAATTTTCAGTTGTGTAATAGAACCATCCCACCATAAGCCTGTGTGACTTACACACTTTCCTTATATACTTATGTGTTTCGTTATAGATTTTCTTTAAGTCATGTATTTTCCCATGCACCACTTACCTGAGCATCATTTTTCAGCATAACATCATCACAGTTTCCCTCAGTTCCCAGTTAACAATCATTCCTATGTGTCAGATTTTGCAGACTGATACTCTGGATCCTGTGCATCACAGCTCCTCATTGCTGACATTTTTTCCCTATATTGGTGTGCTGTACCACTCATTGGAAATTCCACTTTGTGCCAGCCACTGTTGGCTGCAAGTTCGTGGAAGTGTTCAAACTTTACGAGCTTTTCAACACTGGTTGTTATTTGGATCTGCATGTTTTCCCACATCATGTTAGCAGCATTTCTTTGCAGTGCCATATAGTTTTTTGGTCAGACTAATTTCTTCCTTTTTTTTTTTTTAATTTTAATTTTCTGGATTTCTCTTTTCCAGTTTCCTCTCCTATTAGCTTGTCAGATGCATTTATATCCTCCATGTTATCATTCTAGCATTTTGATTCTGCTCTGGGCAATTTGAAAACGTGCCAGGGAAGGTTTAGGCTGAATATTAGGAAAAGGTTCTTTGCTCAGATGGTGGCCAGACACTGGAACTGGCTTCTCAGGGAAGTGGTCACCAAGCCTGACAGAGTTCAAGACATGTTTGGAAAATGCTCTCAGGCACATGATGTGATCTTGAGATTGTCCTGTGCAGGGCCAGGAGTTGGACTCAATCTTTGTTGGTCCCTTCCAACTCAGGATATTCTGATTCTATGATTCTATGCTTGCAGCTTGACCCTTTTTGTCAGCCTTTTCTAACTCCAGGCCTCTATAGAACAACAATCTTTCCTTTACTTTGGATTATGCTTCCATTTGCCTGTCCTCTGATAATGCACTGTGCTGAAGTGCCATCATCCTACATCTGTTTTTTTCTTTTTGGTTCAGAGAAGCATTCTTCAAAGGGCATTCTCTGTTTGCAGTTTTGTACCTTTCAGTTGTGTGATTTTTCCTGGGAATTCAGTGTTTTTCAGGTTTGTCAGCCATGGCACAGAACTTAATCTCTTTTTCTGTCTCATTTACGCCCTGTTAAAGACATCACAGCTTCACATCATACAGCGTGCAAGAAAGTAGGTCCACCCCTTTTTGTCTCAAGGCAATCTGATACCATGTGGATATCATAGCTGTGCTTAAATCTTCCCAAGGATTTCAGTTTTATTCACTATCTTCTTGTGTGTCTTTTCACATAACTAAGAAGTCTTTTCCTATACTCTTTTAAAAAAATCTTCTTTAAATACTCAAATTACACTGCTAGTGCCTTGTTCATGTTTCAGATCCCAAAGTAAAAGGCTGTCAGTGAGCCCTATGGCAGAAATAGTTTATTTATAGCTGTGCTACTAGTCAGCATGAAAGACATTTCTGAACTGTCTTTTCTGTGTTGCTTTTTGATACAGGATTATTCTCATGGTTCAAGTCCCTGCTTTGCATCACACTTTCTAAAGAAAGTGCTGTGTGAGTCTTCCTGAACACAGTAGATCTGGGAATATAAGACCTGTGTAATTGCTATTTAGTCAGCCCTCTTCCCACTTGCAGAAGTGGCTGAGAACCACAGTGAAGAGGATGCCAAAAGCATGACCTGACAATTAGCACCTCTGAAAGACAGGGGACTTTGCAAACATCCCACAGTCCTCTAGATTCGCTTTGATGCTCTGTGGTGGAGGCAAAACTATAAACAGCTATAATGTTTCCTTATTTTTACTCAGTTCCCCAATTGTGGGGAATTATAAGTTAACCTTCTCCTTCGGACCGTATCTTCTCTTTATTCTCCCCTGCAGGTTTAGTTCCTTGGGAAACAAGCATTCATCCATAGGCTTCAGTACTACTTCAGGTCCACTTTAGATCCACTTCAGTTTGTGTTTAATATTCATCTCTTAGAAGGTCAAGGTAGCTGAAGGATTGTTGCTCACACAGACAAATTTAATGTGGAATAGAAGAAGATGATCAGTATATTTTCCCCTTGTTTTGCTCTCCTCTAGCAAGACATAAAGGATTTAAGTACTATGTGAGACACAAGGACGAAATTCAAGTTTTCCCTATAGCACTAGTTGTGGTGTAGCACACGCAGTGTGTTTCAGTCATAAATCCCCAGGTGGCCAAGTACTAACCATCTGGTTGTCTTCATAAATAATACAACAAACTGATTGGAGACAATAGACTAACCTGAGACAAGGTGACTGACAGAACATCCAGTCTTCATCCCAGCAAAGCATTTAATCAATTTTTAATGGAGGTTTCCAGGTGAAAAATTTTGATGGCCTCAGATTTAACTAGCTAGCCCCTGCTGAGCCACTACTTGTATATTCATTGTATTGATCATCATCCAGATTTTGACGCAGCCCAGAAAGCCAATTCAGTCCTGGGCTGTATCCAGAGCACTGTGGGCAGCACGTTGAGGCAGGTGATTGTCCCCTCCCTGCTCCTCTCTGATGAGGCCCCACCTGCAGTGCTGCATCCAGCCCAGGGGTCCCCACCACAAGATGGACAACAACCTCTTGGAGCAAGTCCAGAGGAGGCCACCAAGATGATCAGAGGGATAGACAACCTCTCCTATGAGGAAAGGCTGAGAGAATTGGGATTGTTCAGCCTGGAGAAGAGAAGGCTTTGGGGTGACCTAATTGCAGTCTTCTGGTACTTGAAGGGAGCCCACAGGAAAGATGGAAAGAGACTATTTACAAGGGCCTGTAGTGACAGGATAAGGGGGAATGATTTCAAACTGAGAGTAGGTTTAAATCAGATATTAGGAAGAAGTTCTTTACTGTGAGGTTGGTGAGGCACTGGAACAGGTTACCCAGAGAAGTTGCAGATGACACATTTCTGGAAGTGTCCAAGGCCAGGCTGGATGGGACTTTGAGCAATCTGGTCTAGTGGAAGGTGGCCCTGCCCATGACAGAGGGTTGAAACAAAATATTCTTTAAGGTCCCTTCCAACCAAATCTATTCTGTGAACACCCTGGCTGACAAATCTGGAACCACCCCAGAGAGCGCTCCAGATGGGACCTGCTGCAGAATCAATAAAACTGAACACAGAAAGGTGCTTTCAGATGGTCAGTAGAAACTGTTCTATTAGAAGCAAAAATAGTCAGGTAGGACAGCTTTTGTATGTGGTTAAGATAGATGAAAGATATTTTGTATGTTCTTTAAGGTTATCAGTATAGATAGAACATGCATATGTTTGAGTGATGACACAGGGTGATGGACCAGGTGGATACAGGAATTTAGCAGAAAGTGGTTTGGGGGAATCTCACCAAATCTATCTTAAAACACCACTACAAGGATGCTCTCGATGCAGATTTCTGTCATCATCTGGACAGTGACCAACTGTCCTGTTCAAAAGGTTTGGTTTCCCATGTGAGCATTAGTTTATGCAAAGATATTACAATAATCTCTAGATGTGGTTTTTGTTTTGTATTGTTTTTAACAAACTAATGAGTTGCTAATGACAGGTAAGAGAAACCCATTGAGGGGTGGGGGTTGTCTCTTTTCCAAACCATGACTTTCTAGGCTTAAAATTCTAAGGATGCTGGTAATTTCTATGCCTTCATCTCATGAAAACTGAAACCACTACAGCTCCCCAAACAAACAAACCTGTTTGCAAGGTCTCAATTTTGCATGTTACAGATGCCATCAGAGATTTAAAGCTTCATCCTTCACACTATTCCAGTTCATAGTGTTTCCTGTGACCAGAAGACAAACTAAAGCAATTTCAATCTCTTTGTGACTGAAATGAATCTACCAAGGTCACATGGTAGGTAAATAAGGTTTAGGAGGAGTTCAGAGGATGTTAAAGTTTCAGGTATTGAGTTTACTGTTTGTCACATGCAAGGAGAAGTGCTGCTGAGCAGCAGACAGTAAAATGTGTGCTAATCCAGAGCAGTCAGCAGAGTGTAAGAGCAACCTGGGGGTTATTGTATAATAATTTCACATTTCTTTCCTTTCTTTTGATCTGTAGGGTCTACCTGGAAGTCCAGGGGAAAGAGGACCTCCTGGAAAACCTGTATGTAACTTCATTTTTGTGTTACATCTTTCTTTTAACTCAGTTTGCACCTGTACACCTCAACTCAGAAGAGCGCTCTGGTGCTTTTCCACTGCTGCTTTTCCCAGCAGAGTAAAGGGAAAAACACTAAGACCCACTAAGGAGTTATGATAAATATATCTGTGACAACTTTGAAATGGTATGAAAATAACTGGATATTCTGCATGTAAAAAGCCAAAATTTTAAAGGCACCCTTTTAGCCCCACTGTGCAGTGCCCTCAGCAAGAACTCGTCTCAGATGTGATGAAGTGCATGTTTGTCCCAGTGAATCCTAGGCAAGGAAAGGGAAACCAATGAGCACATTCAGGAAAAAGATCTAATGTCTTGTTGCTTTTTAAAATTGTCTGAGATAATGAATTTCTCATTCCACAGGGTTCCCCACCCCTGCTCTCTCCAGAGGACATAAATCTCCTAGTAAAGGTAATCAGCCTTTGATGAGGGTGAGAGTTTATCTGTGTGTTTGATTCAGACCTGACTATCATTCTGTGATGGGAAAGTGTCTGACTATAAGTCCAAAAGGTGTCTTTAAACACTCTGTCAAAGCTTGAAACTTGTATGTCTCCTACTTGCACTGGTATTGGGACATTAGAGCTCATACTGGAGATCAAAATGGCATCTCCAGCAGTGAAATGACCTACAAAGATCCCTAGAAAAATTTTGAGGCTTTCTCAGTTATTTCAGAGGCATGCATTCCCAAGGAGAAATAAACATTATCCAGTAGTATTATCCAAAACAGAAAATGGAAACCAAATTAATAAAATATCTGATTTTTTCACATATATCTTCAACAGTGACTGGAGTAATTTTGAACTGTGTGTGCAAAGTTAGTTTGCACTGTGCATCTGAAAGGATGAAGATAGTTAACCCCAAAAGCACCCATGTTTCAAAAGTGATATTCTGTCTGATTTTACTCTCCATGTAGAGAGTTTTCTGGGAAACAAGTCAGTCTTTGGTAGGCATTGACTGCAAAATCCTTTACAGATTTCCATGGGCTAAATTGGGAGTCTTTTAAGCTGTCTTGAAATATGGCAAGAAATCCTTTCTTATTGATTAAAACAAACTAAACAATTGCCTTCTTTTACTGACAACATTAACAAAAGGGCCCTTTAAGATTGGTACTGTGAAATGACTTCTTTGAAGAGCTGTCTCTGTTTTGTGGAGCCCAGTATGATTCTAGAGGTTTCACTGTAAGGTGTTGTTTGGGATTTCTAATCTGGACAAGAACATGACACTCATTCTTGGGCACAGGACAAAATTTTGGTATTCTGTCAATTATTTCCTTTACTTATGCTATGGTTAAACACACTTCTGCATTCTTTCTGCTTAGTATTTTTTCAGTCCATGATCGGTACAGATCTGTCTAAAGCAACACCTTGAAATTCCAGGTGAAATAAGGGCTCTGCTGTTCTGGGTGTTTCTCAAGCACTGACACTGTAAGTAGATAAAAGTGCATGTAGGGACTGAGACTCAGAAAGGCAGTTTACCCCACAATTTTACAACAGATCATTGACAGAGGTGGGTGTTGTAGCAAGGTCTCCTGACTCTCAGCCTGATGGTCTGTCTGTTGTGCTGTGCTGTCTCTTATAGGCAGGATTCCCTCTCCTTTTGCTGAAGGGAGTCTGCCTTTGAAATGGAAATGTCATAACACTGTATTTAATTTCCTGAGGATAGCTGAAGTGTAAAGACTACTGAGATGATGCTTCAAAGTTTTGGAAGGTTTGGAGGTAATGATTCTCCATGATAAAATTTGGCCAGGACACTGTGACATTCACTTAGTCTTCACAAACTCCATCGGATGAGTTCTCCTTGGCAATGCCAGCTGCTGAATACAGTTTCCCCTTCAGAACACCCTTTCTGACATTGTGCTGCACCTGTTTTTCCCTAGAAATCTGCCCTCTGAGCAGTAACCCAGCTCTTTCAGAGTGGTGCAGACACAGTTTTCTAGTAGTTTTGAAGCTTCAAAATGATGTTGTTCTTGTTAGCCTTGCTTTGCGACTCTCTGACCTCCATGTCAGGAAGGGGTTTTTCCTTGGTTTCTTGATCCTGGATGATCTGTTAGGATCTAGAACTAATAGGAAATTCCCCATGGGAGCATGTGTGAGCTCAGCTGCTGCCCCTCACTCTGCTCCACACTACCCCCAGTGCAGTTCTGTGAGGCAAATTCACCCCAGTCCTATCCAGTGAGGTAAAACTGCAAAGCTTTGCATATTATACCAGCGCCCCAGTGCTGCGTTCATATTGGGTGTCTGTAGGGTCTGCTAAGTGCCTGAAGTCTATTGCTGATGTGTGTCTCCATGTTCTTTCCAAGGATGTGTGCAGTGAATGCCCTCCTGGCCCACCAGGACTGCCAGGCATCCCAGGTTTCAAAGGTGATAAAGGTCTCCGAGGACCACCAGGCAGAGATGGCCAGGATGGGAAAATGGTAAGAGAGCCGGGGAAGTGACCATGCCTTGGATCTGGTGTAACCTTGTTTTTCTTATAATATGGCTGATGGTTTCTTATAATTTTTTTTTTTATTAACAATCTACTGAATCTTTTTTAGATACTTGTGGACTAAACTAGTGTTTACCTCTACCTTTTCTGCATTGTAGGGTGTTGCTGGTCCCAGAGGTCCTGCAGGCCCACCAGGGCTTGATGGCCCAAAGGTTGGTTGGTTGTTTTTCAGTTGTCCCATGAAAACTTTTTTGTGACTAATAATCACACTAATTAGTCTGGGAACAGGGTGCCCAGAGAAGCTGTGAATGCCTCATCCCTGAAAGTGTTCAAAATCAGGCTGAATGGGGCTTTGAGCAACCTGGTTTAGTGGAAGGTGTCCCTGCCCATGGCAGGAGGGTTGGAATTAGATGTTCTTTAAGGTCCTTTGCAAGTCAGACCGTTCTATGACACTGTGAGTATAATGGATCCTTGGTGGGATCCATCTCTGTGTGAGGAGGTAGCAGTGCCCTGTTGGGCGGGCAGAACTGCACAGCTCCCTGCATGGATGCTGTTTCACTTCAATAGTGTCTTCTACCATCCCTTTCACACACCTTTCACACACGTGAAGGGCTTGATTCTTGATATTGAGTTTCTTTACGTTGCTGTTCTGAAGACAGATAAGGACACGAGAGTAAGTTTCAACCCAAACCAGGTGACGAAGAAATCAAAGCCTCAGCAGTAGCCACTGTGCCTGTTCCTCTCCTCTTTGAATGTTATGTTCCGGAACCACTTAAATTAAGGCTGCTGCACTGAGCTGCTGGGCTCCATGTACACCGTCTGCCATGGTGGTTTTATCCACAAACTCTGAATATTTCCTGAAACAAGTTATAGGAAGAACTCCTTGTTTCAGCTATGTGCTTCTGCCTTATGGTCTAGGGACATAGGCCAACACAAAACTTCCATTGTCTGAGGTATTCCACATTTCAAGCATTTCCCATGAAGATGTCTGTCATCGGTCAGCTCACAATGCCAGTGTCTGGTCACAGCTGAAACCTTTACAATTGCCTAATGTGAAATACATTAAAAAACATCAGTGGAGGGAAAGAGAAGGTGATTTCATGATGGACCACAGTTTCCTCCACATATCCCTGTATTACTGGCTTACTGTCTAAGATTAACTCCTGCTATTTTCACATCTTTGTATTTGCACTTATTAGAGTGTAGGACAAGCTAATAGAGATTCATGAATTAATTTTATATCTTGCAATTAATAGTGTGATGGAGAGAGCAGTACAGTCTCAAAAGTAAACACAGAGTTGATCAAAATGAAAGAATGTTCCAGGATAAAATTTGCAAGAGAATTAGTAACACATAAGGCCAATAACAGGCAGAAATGCCAAGCAGTCTGAGACATACCACATCTGCTACTTTCTTCTGTGTTATGAGAAAGCAGAGATTTAGGCAGCAAAATTGGATGTTTAGGTGAAATACAAGGACAAATTTTAAACTGTACATGTGCATAAAATAAAATCAAGCAATTGATAAATAGCCTAACTTGAATTCAGTGAAAAGAGTTTGCAAATGCTAAAAGCAAATATTGTAAGACCCATGGGAAGGTGCAAACACAGAGACAGTCTTCGTGAGTCCTTACTGAATACATTAGGAGGAATCTTGCAGCGAGAGACCCAAATTACTCTCTACTTATGACTATGTGGTATATTGTCCTTACCAACACCATCTAAACTATGAGGTCTCGTTCTGGAACAGAGCGGTAGAACTTCAGATCTTTGCTCGTGAGCAGCTTTATGCCTTCTGTCCATATGAATTAGAGCTCTTTGAATTAATAGATAGAAACCCTCTCTCTCTCCCTTGTCTCCTAGCTTTGATGTAGTAAAGCAGAGTATTATTTCCTCGGCCAGCAGTTCATTATTGTTCTGTGCATTATTCATAACCTGTTCACCATCACCTCAGTATTTTTCACTGTGTGAGACTCATCTTGCCTTATTTTAAGCACTGATGATGCAGACATCTACATTTGAGTTAGTGTTACGACCCACCCCAGAAAAAGGGGAGAGGAGTAACCCAGGTTCTTATCAATAATTCCCTTGGGGTGGATTAGAGTGAAACGACACTGAATAATCGGTGTCTGAAAACATATATAGGTAGGGTTTATTTTAACAATTTTGTTTTAACAGGTATGTTAGCATTTTGGGTGTTGTCATCTATATTATATATCATAGGGATAACCCCTGGGGGGGAAAATGCATAAGGGAGAGAAGGGAAAGACAGGATAAGGCTAAGGGAGAGTAAGGGAAAGAAAAGCTGAGAGTGGACAGATGTATATAGTCACCACCCATGGGGTCCAGCGATGAAACTTGGTAGTTGCAGCTTCCATGTCTGTCAGTTGAAGTGGTGGTCTTGATCTGCTGGGAGTGAAGGAGGGAAGCCCCCACACTCCAAGAAGTTATGAGTTATTATATCCATGGTTAGTGTCACGGGCCATGCCTCGAGCCTCCAACCTCTCCCTGGGCCCTGCACAGAATTTCTGTGTCTGGCCTGGTTCCCACCTTTTTTTTTTTTAGATTGGCAGAGGGGGGATGGGCTGTTATGGGCCATCAGAAGTCCTGCCTTTTCAGGGCTTGACACCTTCAATTGTCCATCAGAGGTATAATGCAACAGCCTGCAAACTTGGCTCTTTACTGGAAGGAGGGATGGGCCCAACTGTCCATCCAAAATGCAAGTCAAAAGCCTGCAAAAGTCTCCTAGAATGCATAAATCATTAAACATTTCAGTCTCTGACAGTTAGCTGTCTGTTCTGTGTCATTAGGACAGAAAGACAGAGAGAGGAAGAGGGGAGCACTTTTTGTGCATGAATGTTCAGGCTGCACCTTGGAAATGCCATTTTTATTGCTGTTGTCCCTAAAGGGAGGGGAGATTACTAACTCATACTGTGGAAGTCTTTGTTGGGCCAGATGATTCCTTATCAAGATATGATTTTAGTGAAGTTCCTAACAACCTGCCTGCTTTTTAAGGATGTATAATTCCTCTTTATGTCTATGAGACTACAACATTAAAAACCAGCTATGCTGGATCTGCTCAAAGGCCATCCTTCACATATATCCTGGCTCCAGCATTGGCAGTAAAAGTCTAGGAGGTCTCAGTCTTAATTCATGAGTTTTATGGTCAAATGTCCAAGTGCTTCATGAAATAGGTAAAAAAGTTGTCACAATACTGAAGTGACTTTCAATGCCTCTTTTTTTTTTATTATCAGGGTGCTAAAGGAGATCGTGGTATGACTGGGGATGTAGGAGAAAAAGGTGAACAGGTAAAAACAGTGTGCTTTCCAACAGTGCTGCCTCTGTGCTTCTCCCTTCATCAGTAATTCCTGTGATGTCTGTGGAATAATTCCCTTCTCAGAGGCAAAGCAAGAAGATGGGAGTTCTTCATCACTCATAAACCACAAATGGGCTATTCTGAAGAGTGAAACTATAGCAATCCTGAACAGGTTTCCATTCTCATCGTCTAGTAAAAACCTTCCTGTATCATCTGTTACCTCAGTTCTGGACTAAATGCATTCAATTCTCTACATTACCTAACCCTTAGTAATTTCCTCAGACATTCCCTAGATGGTATCCAGAAGGTCAGGTGTCTTTGGGTTGAAAAATCCAGTGTTTCTATTTTTCTTGAAAGATGAATGTAAGGATGACCCCTTTTAGGAGGGACTGAGTTGTCACAGGAAAGAGGAGACTGGTCTAAATTACAGCAAACTGTTTAATGTGCAAATCAGCACCTGTTCAATGGGATTTGTAGGATATTTTAAACAGGTTTGGTTTCCTGCCTAAACTTATGTATGTGCAATTCCACGATATCTGTTTTCATCTTCCATTAGCATAGTCTGACGTATTCATTGGAAAAAGTACCTGAAATTATAACTATGATATTTCTGAAGTGTTCACCTTGAAAAACAAGGTTGTGCTTTAAAAAAGCCATGGTTCTTTATTTCCTTATAACCACCTCTGTCTGGATATTGTCTAGCTTTGATGTTACCTCACAATATTCAGTTACCAGTTAATTTTTATATGACTAGAGGTGTGAATAGTGCCTAAAGAAAGTCTCTTTTTTTTATTCTGCAGGGCCACCCTGGAATGCCTGGCTTCTCAGGGGCTCCTGGAAACCCTGGTCCACCTGTAAGTTCCTTTGTTGCAAAGATGATCCAGTACTTTTCTTACTAATAAAGGCTGTTGCAAGCTCCACGTGGAAGAAAGGACTGTTCCCATCTGTCTGTTCACTGAATTTGCATTTTCCAGTGGGTTCCTAATGGTCCCCTAAGTGTCATAGAGTTCCCCACTCATGGTAATTGCTATTTAATATATTGGCCACTTTTCACTGATTGCTTCAGCTCACTCTGTAAATTGATGCTAAGCTTCAGTTGCTCTCTTTATACAACACAATGATGATGAAAACTCTTCCACAGAGACTATTTAATATGTATATAGGTGTTTTACTCTATGTGGAATAAGGTGTTAATCTAGAACCAGCACATCTAAGAGTGTTTTAGTTCTCAATTTTACACAGTGGTATGAGACTTGATTTTTTTCGATTTTCATATCATGTGGTTTACTTTTGAATTAAAAGGCCTCTTACATATGTTCCTCTCCATCACAGTGCTCCTCATTCTTAGCTCTACTCACTCTGTAATACGTTCATACTTCTGTGTATTTAAAAAGAGGTGACAGTGCAGAATCAGAGCTGAAAGAACTTGGCTTTCTTGCTGGTGATATCTCCACTTTACGGCCCTCAAGTGTTTGGACTTTTCCTGAGTGAAGGACTTTTCTCTCCAAACTGTCTTTCTTTGCCCACAGTCATCACTGCTCATATTGCTGCTTACAGTGCAGTTTGGCTCTGCCGTGCTGAGGAAGTGCAATCTTCCTCTGTACTGGGGATCTGCACAGTCCAAATTTACATTGCACCAACTAAATGACAGAACATACCAGAAAAATAGGATTAGATTAAAATTCTGTATTCAGATGGTAGCAGTGCCTTAAGGATGCTGGATGCTTTGCCATGGGACAACATGTGGACTTGCATTTTGGGTCATTTGTGCTCCTGTGAGAACTATTTTAGGAGAAGTTAATAACAGACACATTTACTGTGTCTATGTTAACCTCATACTTGTCCTATGAGACCCTCTGAACAGACTCACAGCCAAAGAAAATGTGCTGTGAAATCAAAATGTGAAACTGAGCCTGTCAAAGCAGAGCAAAATGTGATGTCCCTTCAATAATTTTACTCTTCATCTTTTGCTGACTTTTGCCTCTGCCTTCATTGACTCGTGGCTCAAAAAGTTTTCCTACCACAGAGTATGCTTCATAATTTCTCTTTTCCTGTGATTTCTGCTCTTCAGAGTTATTTTTGTCACAAGATTGGCTTTTTCCTATTTTCCCCTATTTTTGGAAGGAAGGACCAGACTGAAGTATCTGACTTTTTCTGGCTTTGGAGGCTGATTGAGTGCAGAGGTTGGCACTGCTTTTTGGTGATGAATGAAGAAGTTGAATGAATGCTGAACTGAGTGACTGAAGAAAACTTCAGGGTTGCCAGCTGTGGTAGGAAGTATGTTGACAAAAGTACAGAATCCATGAATCATTCACATTGTTTCTGCTTTATTTTGTTTAGGGATCAGATGGGGCACCAGGACCAATAGGACCAGTGGGAAACCCAGGAGACATAGTAAGCTCTAAGCTCTGTGCTTCACCACTGGCTTCACCTATTATTATTCAGTCTGTATCAACTCTACACCTACAAGTAGGAGCTCCACAAATAACAGATTACTCTCTTCTTGAATTTTTTTCTTTTACTCACCAAATGGATCTCCAAATTAACCAGAGCGTAATCCAGACCATGGGATATGTATGGAGGTTTTCGTACCTCTCGTGTGTCTGTCCTTGCTATTAACATCTCTTAGGCTCTAGAACAGGATTACTAAATCTGTTAGTATGCTTCATAACCTAGGCTAATACCTAAACTCTGTGTGGGGATTATCAGAATATAACCTGCAACATGTTAAAGGATGTCACAGCACAGACTGCTCAGATGCCAAGGCCTGACATCATTCCCTGGCACCACTGAAAATACCAGTACAAGTGAAACGTCTGAGAAGCCCAGGAAAACTTTTTGCTACTTCTGTTTCATTTGAAGGGTTTTTAGATGCTACTTTATGGTAATGTATCAGAAAACCCTGGGAGAGACAGGTAATCTGATTGATGCTAACTTCAGATTGAAAAGTTAAAAATTAACGTTCCCTGAGGAATACAAGCTGTTGAGCTGGAATAGTTCAATACTGTGTAATTCTGTGATTAATTTCTAGATCAGGGTTTCCTATGGAGCAAGTTGCTTTTTTCAGATCCATTGCACAACTTTAACTTCATCTTAAGTGAGCAATGATGGTCCTCCTGATGGTCCTCCTGATGGGTGTTATGAAATCAGTGAGCACTCTCAGCAGAGAGGCCAGAGTCTAGAAGGACAGGCTGACTGAAAATCCATTTCAAATGGATGATCAAGATTATGACACTGTGAAAGACCTGAGATGCTATTGTCCAGTCCTGGGAATTTCTTGGGATTGTATGCAAAGCACTTCCTGTAACTACTCATTAGATAGTTACCTAATGCAGGAAGTTAAGGACAAAACATTAAATATAATTATCTTCAGAAAAAAATTACCAGTGATTTCAGTGGTTTCCCAATCTGTAAGAACTCATAGTTAACACAGAATTTTTTAGGTGAAAAGAGCGCTCTCCAGTTTAAACTAGAAGTGATTCAAGAAAACCTCATAGACTCTGTGACATGGGCTACAAGACCAGCTTCTCACAATTGTCCCTGGTCAAACTACATGTGATAAATCATCTGATGGAAGATCTGAGAA